CCCCCCTGCCCCCCCCCCAATAATTTTTCTCAGTCTACGGCCCTGATTTTCTCTCTCTCTCTCTCTCTCTCTCTCTCTCTCTGTCTGTCTGCAAGCATTTCCGTGTACTCGGCATAGCTAATGCGGGGGCTTCGGATTCTCGATGAGAAATGTGATTGATCTATGTCTAAACACAGCGGCTAGAAATGAGGTGGGAAGTAAAATATCGTTTCCACGAACTCTCAGTACGGACGAACCAACTCTCTCGCTGTGCGTGTGGCTGGTCTGACTCAGCTGGCATCGCATCATCAGCAGTGTGTACGTGTTCTCGTATTTTGAGGAAAGCTCTCACTGCTCTCTCTCTCTCTCTCAGAGTGTTTGGAGTTTTATTGGCGCTGAAAAGGTTAAAAAAGACGGAGAATGGATTCCTATCTTGGAAAATGGGTGCTGGTACGTGAAGCATCTGACAATATTGTTCCCCAGCTACAGGCGGCAGGTGAGAGTTTCTTCTTTTTCTTTTTCTAACTTAGGCATGTTGTGATATGTAAATGATTAAGATTGCTAAAAGGCAAGTGGAAAGAAAAACATTATTTGAAAATCTTAAAAGGAGGAATATATGTCTTCACGATAACAGAGCTCCTATAAAACCCAATTATATTTTTTTCACCAAGGAATTTAACACCTTTAGCATCTTCCTACCTATTAATAACCGTCAGAAGTATATTAATGCAGACCTATTCCTTTAGCTCAGTCAATTTGGTTTCTGTGGCTCTTTGTGATCGAGTAACTTGAGAGGGGCAAATAATCCACGAACTTTGTCTTTATGGGTCTCATATTATCAGAGATCACGACAATCCACCGATAATCCTAGGCAAGAACAATGAGCCGGTGTTTGTTTCTAAGTTTCCTGGAATACTATTCATCAGTTCATATCGCCGTAGACACTGTGGATAATGCGTTTTTTACTAACGTTGGATTGCAGACATCATATCTGGATATCAGAACAAAAATCTCACAGTGTTGATAAAACGGATATGCTTAGAACTACCAGTGAATGTACGGGTTGTGTTCGTTGTAAGGTGGATGATATGCGAAGAATGTGTTTCCGAAATGAGTCAGATTATGTGCGATATGCTCTACGATCACGTTAACAGGTTATTCCAGGCAATCTTTATTTTTTTACACGACCCTTTGCGTTTTGTTTTTTTATTTTATTATTATTTTTTTTATTGTAATGGCAGTGAAGAATTTTTTTGCCATTTTAAACCGACTTTCCCGTTCAAAGCAAAAATATACCCATTAAATACACGATTTATAAAACCGAAGTCAACAAGCAAACGCTCGCTAAATATATATTTTAGGAGGGGTGGAGAAAAGCATGAAAGCTGCCTTTTAAATTAAACATACCTGCTTGCTTTTAAGTAGAAAAACGAAATTGTTTAGATAGAAATAAAAGGGGTAATGTTAGAGACACGTGATTGCAAGACTATTAACGGCATGTTGATACAAAGGTAAGAAATACGTATCTGTGTATCGGATTACTGTAACACAGGACATGCAGTTAAGTTCGATAAATTCCAACCTTGCCCTGTTTTTACCCATGTATTTTTCTTACATACGATAAGAGTGGTACATTGTACACGCTAACAAAGAGAGGGGACTTAAAGCGCATTCAGGACAGAGGACTAACAGATCCGCGGATCAAATACGGCCGACCCACTTGAATGTCTGTTGCGTAATCCCTGAGGGAAATCTTCTCAGTGTCTAATTGGGCATTAAGCGGCAAACTTTTTAGTGGGTCGCCATGCATATTTGATTCGCGGATCTGAATGCGCTCTTTAGCCCCACGTTCCTAGGATTACAAAAGACGCTATTTCACCATTATCACCCATGAAAGAACGAAGCAGTGTGTGTGTGTGTGTGTGTGTGTGTGTGTGTGTGTGTGTGTGAAAAAATGATTACAGATGAAACAGATAAGCGACAGAAGGGGATATCCTAACTCCCCCCCCTCACTCCTGCCCTCTGCGCCCATAATGCCCCTATTTCACACAGACCACGAATCCCACGAATCGCCAGGAATTGACAAATTTCTGGATTCGTGAGGATTCGTGAGATTTGCCAATTTTCTGGTCTAATTTGACACGCTCTACGATTCAGTTACGATACAGGTGCGATAGTGTTACGATTATTCGTGGAATTCGGCTGGAATCGAACGAATATTGTCCAGAAATTCACTACGATTTTTTGGAATCGGGAGTTCGTGGCCAAAATTTTGAACAGCTCAAAATTTTTGCCACGAATTCCCGATTGATCAAGAATTGCAAGAACGGACTACGATTATATACGAATCTGTTAAGAACTTCACGAACTGATTACGATTCAAACACGAATCCGGAAATTTTCAATTCCTGGCGATTCGTGGGATTCGTGGTCTGTGTGAAATAGGGGCATCAAAGTTTTTGCCACTAATTCCTGTTGGTCAAGAAGTGCAAGAACTGACTACGAATATATACATATATACGGATCTGTTAAGAACTTCACGAACTGATTACGATTCAACCACGAATCCCGAAATTTGTCAATTCATGGCCATTCGTGGGATTCGTGGTCTGTGTGAAATAGGGGCATTACAGACGCCTATAGATAAGTCACGCTAGTGCTTTCACAACATCTAGAACAAGATGACCTCGCCAATGTCTGCCCTTGTATCCGCAGCAGCAATTACTAACCACTATACGCTGCTGATATCTGTTCTATAAACCTGCTAACATAGATTCCATGGAGGATGTAGCACTGGCAATTTGCAACGCTGTCAAGAATTATCTGGAGTTACAGACCACACTATTCGCCTTAGTTCGTTTCATAGCTAGATTTATATTTTTCTAAACGAGATATGTGGCTTCGCCTGCATGTGCCTTTTTTATACACATTACTATTGCTATCTTAAACAAGGGGGAGACTCTGCATTTGATAATGAGTTTATTTATTATATTTTCAGTCCATTCCACTTTTCCTTTTAATCCGTTAGTATATTTGCTTTATATGTACATTGCCTTGCAAAAATTTAAGGCCCATTTAGGGACCGTCAATTCCTGGCAAAAACATGTGCGGGTGGGTTGGGGGGGGGGGTATGTTATTATTGTTGGGTCCTCGTGCCGTAGGTTTATTGGAGTTGCTAATAGCCACCCGGTTTCTCCTTTAACAGGCGTGAGCGGAGCTGTTTTTTAAGTGGTACCACTAACCTTTCTATAAAAATAATAACGTAATAATGATGATAATAACATGATTTATGGGTGGCGAAGGGGGAGTAACCCCTTGATTATCTACACGTATATGAACCTCTCTGACATGTTAGAATAAAGAGGGACGCAGAGCAACCCGGCCCCGCCCCCTTCCCCCTAACCCTTTGGCCCCTACGCCTATGTCTTGTGAACATACGGGCAGGAGGTGAAGAACAAGAAGGTGTTTATTCCGCCGACTGTCAAAAGGAGATCGCATAAACTAGTTCATTATACCTGGCGGATGTCGGTTATGTATACGGTCTTCAGACGGAAGACTGAGCGGGCTCGTGGCACGGGAGAGAGGAAATATTTGAAGTTCCGAATGTGAAATGATTTACCCTAAGTTGGTTGCAAATTTGCTTCAGAGAAAAATGATTTCATCCAACATCTGTCCAATTTTCGAATTGAGGAATTTGAAAAATGATTCTATTAAGCTTTACATGCATTAACTCCATTCCTCCATTCGTATTTTTACAGCAGAGCAGATAAGGTGAAAATATACAGCTGGTAAGAAAAATAACCAAACTGTATCAGTTTCATAAATCTAGAAATAAGATACGTCACTTTGTCATGACACACAGCAGAAAAAAGAAGACTCACGCCAGGAAGCTATTCATTTGCTTGTCACTACCTTTTATGAGAGTTTAGCAATATCATCACCTTGATACACAACTTAATGATTCTTGAATAATTCTGATAGAAACGCATTTACAAGTGTAGTGGTATCGTGTTTGCCTTTTCCGCAGACTAATTTCCTGCTCTGTATCATCATTGAATGGTAGTTTCTGTATGGCGTGGTCTTTAGGATGTAGTTGTAACAGTTGTAAAATGTAGTTGTTATTGATTTAATCCGACAAAACATTCTGGTTACGTCTAGGTGTTAAAGCGCCACAAAGGTTCTCCCCTTTAAGTTGAATAACTTTCTGATTTAAGTAGATGGAATTTTAAATGAACAACGTTTATTGATTTCGAAAGTACACACACTGGACAAAAGAAGTGTCACCCCCTGAATCAGAGTAATCAAAGTTATAATGCCTGGTCTACTTATAATGTGACTAATGAGTATAAAACCGCTGTACCATGGAATTGTATTGTTGGTCTTTTTGTAAAATATGATGTTAATAAAATGATACCAGGAGCATATCATTCCACAGTCATTTATTTCCCCCAAAGTATTGGTTCAGTAGGGGTGACACTTCTATTGTCCAGTGTGTGTATTTAGAATAAAAGCAATGTCTTGTTTCTTCTTTAAATCAAATAAAACGGTCGAATGTTGGGCGAATGACATCGTCAAATTCTCAGGTTCAGTAATAGACACGATGGTCATTGTTAATTCCCTTATGTCCTCTAATGTCTCTAACTTTATTATCAAGCGTATAATGTGACTTGCATTCATAGACTCTCTAAACTGCAGTCTAATACTCGCATTGATGAGTACAGTTATTTTACTGTTGCCGATTGCACTGCGGTTTGAATGAATAGAGCCACGATATTAAGGATGTTTTCTGAGATCTAGTTCAGGAGACAGACACTTTCACATTATTGTCTCTAGCCTTCAATTGTGTACTTCTTCATCTATTAATGGCTTATTCATTTTCCCTTTTGCATTATGGCGTGCAGCACTTTTTGTGAAGGAGAGGTTTCTTATTTCACAGTTTTACTTTACGGTGTTGTCACAGTCTGATGTTCATTGGTGGTTAGGGGCTTGGAGCCATGATCCAAGTTCGGGGGCGGGGGGGGGGGGGGGGGGTGGAGACATTATGCGTTTCTGTTTCGAGATGAAGAATATTGACCCCTATCTTTGATGATACGCGGTTTACTCTTAACTGCAGCTCCCTATTCAGTGCCCGTTTAACTACAAATATCTTAAGACTTGTTTCGGGGGGAGCAGAGAACTTACATGCAATGGAACGTTTGGCTTACTCTAGAAAGGAGTCGACAGATAGGTCGTGCAACCAAAGAATCTGTTGTTTTTACACTGTCAAACAGCGCTAGCTGCAGTCAGTGCTTATTGATGTTATGAGTCTAAAAAAAGTCCACGCATGAATACAATACCTCTACAAGGCCAACAGTACAAGAAACCACGTCCATGGCCTAATTTCACTATAGTAAACTAGACAATAAAGATTGAAGACTGTCTTAACAATTGCACTGTTCCCATTTTAAATGATTCTAAATAATACAAATTATCATATGTGCACGTGTGTCATTGTTATACGTTTTTTTAAAGAAACGATCTGCATAACAAAACAATATCAAATTAAAAAAAAGATATTTTGCACAAGCTTTTTTCACCATAAATCCACCCCTTACAAATGACCCTCTCTCCACCCTCAGGTGTGCCAGCAGAAAGCGTAGAACAGGTGGCTAAGATAATGCAGGACAACGACCAGATTATCTCTCTGGCTAAAGATGGCGACGGCTTCTTCTACAGCTTCGAGTGTGGCCCTCTGAAACAGGAGTACACCTTTAAGCTGGGAGAGACGTTTGAGCACTTGATGCCGCATGTGAACAAGATGGCGAAGGTGAGACAAAGGAAAGAACCGCCGGTTGTATTTTTGGTTTTGATTGTCCTTGTCTGAAAAAATATAATCTAGCTTTCTGACAGATCCTTTTTTTAAAAATGTATGTGGTGCATGTGCACTAGTGAAGCCTAGAAGTGCAAGCGTACGAGAGATCAGAAACGTGACACTGAAGCTCTGACATTATGAATTATCGGAAAAAGAATAAACACCGTCTGATGTCTGTAGGTGGTTAGGAGCAAGACATCTTTACATTGTAATAGAACTCTTTTTGCCTTTTGAAAAAAATCAAATTAGCGGTTAATAGTTCTTGTCACGCATATTCAGATGTGTCAGGACAGAAATGGTAGGCCTAGGGATGGAAGTGCGGTTTTCCATCAGTTTAGGATTAGTTGGGGTATTGGGGTTAATGTATGGGACAAATGTCATCTGCTCAATGTATTATATGGGAGAGAACTACGGTTCCTAGAGGACTTCCATTCCTGCAACAACGGGTGCACCATAATGGAATGACTGCTTCAGACGAGAGGTACAGACTTTGGTGACTCTGACCTACTGTATAAAGGCCAAGGCCCCGGTCCCAAAGCCACCATCGGTCTGCATAGATCGATCCAACTCTGCAGGGACTCTCGCTGAGTGCAATCAGCGTTACTGAATAACGCGCCTACAGTTGTTTCCAACATACTTGTATAAGCACAAGCAAACAAACAAACAAACAAACAAACAAACAAACAAATCAATGAGTAATGCATTCGCCAATTCTATAATCTTCTTCCTCAGAGTAGTTAATAAAAAAAAAAACACACTACATAAACAAACAATAAATAAATAAAGGTATCAGTAGGACAGTATCCAATAATTTTAATATATTTTCTCGAATTTGCGAAACGTACACATTCAAAAGATTTACTATTCAATTTTATCCATTCAGTACAGAATAACACTTGTCTGTCTTACAACTCTATTATAGTTTCCTATTTCCAATAGAGTTGTTATAAGACAGTGTCTGGTACAAACAGACCTTTTATCTGGAACGTTTTTGATTTGCCCGTAAAGACTACCAAAGGTATATAAATAATATTTTTACGTAATCAATTACTATCTCTGCGTACGCAAAAAGTGCATTTATAAATTGTCTGGAAATGTAAACGCATGAAATTCGTGGAGACCCTAATTGGTTATTTCACTTAAGGCAACATATAAGGTTAGATGTCAAACACGTGTTATAGTTTTTTGGGGATGGGTTAAGGTAATGAAAGGGTAATTAAAGATTTTTGAGAACCCCCGGCAAAATCATTATTTTTTTATCTTTTTCGCGCTATTAACTACGAACTTTGTGCACACATGACGTAATTTCTGCTAGAAATCGTTTCAATTAAGTGTTTGTTCGTGTAGCGTTGCATCACGTTTTTCAATTAACAGAATAAAGAATTACTATTGGCAGACTCTAATCAAATACTGTAGTATTTTGCGTTTATCACCTATTATTGATCTGAGATGGATGTCCCTAAATTCCTTCTCGTTTTTTTCGTCCGGAAAAATAATTATTATCATGAAATTGCATGTGAATTTGTGCTTGCTTTGAATTAATTTCCCATTTTTATACATTTACATAAGTCTTAATTCATCATAGCAAGTACCTATCGCAATATTTAAGGTGAAAACCTAGTTAACCGTCCCAAAGGAAGAGCAGACGAATGTTTTTCCTGTCCTATGCATGTGCGTATGAAGCTCTGAGCTATGGTTATAAGCAGTTTTACGAAACCTGACCCTTTATGCAGGAACGTTACCGTTGACAAGGGATGAATCCACAGTTTTCCTTTGCCAAAAATCATAATATAAATAAATAAATAAGTATAAATAAACAAATAAATGATATGAAAATTAATAATAAGATATGTTTGAGTAAGCCCCATCCCCACCACACCCGTCCCCAGCTAGATGTTGGTCTATAGCTATGTACTGTCAGTGAACACGTACACCTACAAAGTGTTTGAAGGCACTCTTTGTATTGTGATGCACTGTATATGCCAGGGGCGTAGCCAGGCATACGCACGGATGCACTGTGCGTACAATTTTTGAGCCAACCATGATATTATTCTCCATAAATTCAGTGTATTTTTCACGGAATATAATCCTGGGAATTTTCAAAATCTGTGCGTACAATTTTAAAAGGTCTAGTTACGCCCCTGTATGCCACTCTAAAACGTTCAGCTGTTTTCTCCATCCTGAGTTTTCAAAGGTCACGCGAGGCATGATGATTATATTTATGTGAGTTCCCAGTAACTTCTGAAACTCAGTGTGTATTTCTTGCTCTCCCTGCAGATCACGTTCAGCCTGGTGAACGGTTTACTGGTTGACGACATTGAGATGGAGGGAGCAGGGAAGATGACGTATTCAAGGGTGGTGGACGGGAATGACATGACTGTGGTAAGGACGTCTTCTTTTCTTTTCTTTTTTATTTTCAGTCTTTTTTCTCTTGCTTCACTTACAACTTGCATCTCACTTCTACTTTCTGTCCTTCACAATTTTTAATTCTTGTCGTTTTTGCAGCATTTTTGTAACGTTTTTCCTCGCTCTTGATAAGCGCAGAGTAGGTCGTTTTATAATTTCACTTTTTATACATCTTCTAATTTATGATTAAGTCTATTTGGTAAAAGCAAAAAAAAAAAATTTAAAAATCGGTCATTTATTTCCAGACAATGAGTGCAGGCGGCCAGGCGGAGACAGGAAAGCGAAAATACAGGAGGATGTAGTGACGCACTGGGGAGTGACTGAAAGAAGACCAGGCACGCGTTTACACTGACCAAGAGGGTTAAAGACGAAAAAGTATTAGGATTAAAAAGAAAAATTGCCAGTGCACTATAAAGTGGAGAATAAGGACATGTTAGTGTGTGCGTTGTTCGTGAAGTTTTCGTGACCCCGGGCTATATGTGAAATATATGTCTTTTCCAATGCAACTGCTTCTTTTGAGGTTTAATTTTTTTCCTAAAAGTATGTCAACAAGCAAGTAGTTTCAAGTACACGAACGTGAAGTTTGTTGCATGAGTGTATTCATTTTATACTTCAAACAAAAAAAATTGGGTCTAATTTTTTATGGTCACTGTGTATAGTGCATGAGAAGTTGTCGTTATACTAAAATAAGATTTGAAAGAATCTATTTCGGAGAGTTAAGGATGGCTAGGAAGTCACAATGACAACGATCGGACAGATAATTCCACGCAACCCGGTGAAGCAGGCAATAAGTAAGCCGACTGGAAATCAAGTCATCGCGATGATATTACGAAAAAAATATATATACATGTACGTTTTATTGTCTGAATGTAATTTTTTGACGGACTGTGTGGCACTTCGTTTCTTTTTTATTCTTTATTTATACTTGTAACATTAAATATTTGTGATATTTCATGAAATAAAATGTATAGAGTAGACGGGTGACTAAACGTATATAGAGAATGACTGGCGGGGGAGATACTGGTGGTCCATAAAACATTTAGTTCGAGATATTGAATGTTTTTATCAATTTAAGACACCAATTCTGAACAGTCGAAAGATAGCTCTTCTCCTTATTAATTTTTTTTCATTATCGATAACGTCCAGTCTTACAGCATCACTATACAGTGTCATTAGTACGTTTGTACTTAAACTTGGTCTCTGACTCAGTGGAGACAATTCCACTGTATGCTTTACCAGGGTCACAGACGGTTTTCTTTTCACTAGATATTCACTGGTATGTCCCTGACTATTTCAAGACACAATTCTCTGCTGTGAGAAAATTGCTCATTATTAATCTGCAGTCTTGAAAGAGGGTAATTCCACCATAATTTTCCTGCCAAATGCTTAACATCCGAAACAGTAATTAAACAGGAGCACTTAATTCACAGTACAGGTGTGAATTCCGGCGAACATAAATAAGGCAATCCAGTCCATCTTAAAGAGATATTTTAGGAAACTATCATCGGACTTCAAGGAAATGAATTCCGTGTGTTATTAAGAAATACGCGAAGGTGGTCACTGTACGTTATTTAACTCGGTATAGCTTTATCTTTTTTCCCCTTTACTGAGATTTTTGCATATCTCTTCTTCCTCTCTCTCAATTATACGCAACACAATGTCCTATAAGATTAATTTTTATTTATTCCAATGAAAACAAAACAAAATTCATAAATAGTACACGTCCTCCCGCCTCCTGCGTATTTGAACAAGCGATGATATGAAGATAATATAAACTATGTGAAACAATATATTAATGATTAATAAGCAATCATTAAACTTAAAACTTATAAATATACACCAGATCCACAGAGTTAGAGAAAATAGCAGCTCTCTTTTTAAAGATTTCAAAGCTGGTGCCATTCAGAAGATCAAGGATGGCATAATTTAACACTCAAATAATTAACAACATTTTAATACTGAATACTCAGAATAACAAGTAATACTCATTTGCCATCTTAAAAGTCAGAACATACACATAATTACTATACCAGCACCTTATGTGTACATATTATAGAAACAAGGCAGTTCAACAAATATTTTTAGGCTTTTCTGATGAGTAAGATATTATTGTCAAATTATAAGAAATTTTACAAGTACCAGTAATATCTTATATATGTGGGAAAAAAAAGCTCACCCCACCCCCAGGGAAATGTGTAAATATCAACAGAAATGGAGGGGGCGAAAACGGTGGGGTGGGGGTGGGGCACGCTTTGTTCTCCTTGCCATGAAGTCACTTTTAAGTTAAAACAGCATGACACGATAATGAAGCAGTGCGGAATAAATATCAAGACCTTGTAAAGGATGGCTTTGGACAAATGAAATGTCCAATGATGAATTGAGTTTTCTTCAAATCAGTATCATGATGAAAATATGTGATGGGTAATCACTGATTTGATTCATCTTTGCTCCTCTTCCTCCTGTTTCTGTTTTCATTAATCCCTGATTCTGATCCTTTACTTTGAAGTTTCCCTCCCCTCTATAACGTTACTTTTCTTCTCAATCTTCTCCAACCTGACCTTCTGGTCTGACCTGTGGCCTGTTCAAAGGAACAGAGATTATTAAAAATTTTCAAACTTTTCAATTTTTCTCATGTATCGCTGTTTTAAGATTTACCATTGTCAGACTGTCCCATTATTGCCCTTTCTGACACAGATGCAACTAATTTTCAAAAACTTTTAATCAACATTAAGCAGTTTCTACAACTGTAACATACTTAACATCTCTTTGGTGAAAATTCCTCATTCATGTTGTACAAATATATAGTGTAATTACCATATTCTCCCTACTGCCATCCTCCATCAAGACCTGCTCCCTGCTCTGTGTCTACTGTAAGTGTTCTCTGGGCCAGGAGATTCTTTTGAACGAGAAGATCTCTTTCCTCTGACAGAGTCATCAGGGGAGCTCTCTCTGGACTGGTGAGATTCAGCATTTTCCTCATCCTGCGGGTTCTAAAACATAAAAAAAAAGAAAGTTTCTGTGCTCTATCATAGGCTGATGAATAGATTGTGTATGTGTACAATCCATTCAGGAGTAAAAACCTGAGATATATCTGTAAAGCTTTACTTAATTGGGGTAGGGGGGTGTTAGAGGGGGGGGGGGGGAGAAGGGGGTTGGGGGGGNGGTGAGAAGGGGGTTGGGGGGGAGGCGTCACCACACAGGTAAGTGGACCACAGGTTACCTGACAGAGCCAGCTTTAAGTTTGCCTTTAAAAGTATGACTCAGGTTTTTACTCCTAAATGGTCTATAAAACTTTTTTAATTAAAAATGTATGTTACATGAAAAACACAGCAAAAGGACCAACTTGAGTGCCAAAGTGTATCATAAGCAAAAAATGGCCATACCCAGTGGCTGAGAAGTAAGGGACAGACACAGTGCATGCTGCACTTATTATAAGTATAATGAAACTCGGTGTAAGAGACTGCTATTATGCACTAAACATGAAGCACTGAACATGAAACACACTTCCAAAATTTTTCAACTAAATAAGTCCAAAATTAGCATGGTATATGTCCTCTGAAGTTGCACTAAACCCAACCCTTGGCATAACTCCCCCCCCCCCCCCCTCTTAAGCACTGAAATATAATAGTCCCATCATTGTGTCTTATAAAATGTATAGTTTTCTCATCTACAATTATAAACATGCTGAATGATTCCAGGAGACCCCCCCATTCAGCCTCTCCAAGATATGCCAGTACTAATAAAGCCTTCCTACCATACTACGTAATACTAATTGATTAGATTACTTCCTGCTTTATCACCACTTTCATCAAAGTGTGACATCTGGTACAAGCCTGTGAGTTATCTGATTATGAATCATCCAGCCACAGACAATCAATCACCTACTTCAGGCTTCATTTGGTCCTTATCAAGGTTAATCCATGTAGAACCGAATTATTAAATTATATTTTTGATAACTGAAATATTTTTTTCTTTTCTTTTTTTTTCTGTGTGTAATGTGTGTTTTAAATGCATGTTTGTAAAAAACATTCTTTTTTTGTTTTCTTTTTGTATATTTTTAAAAATACATATTTGTAATAAATATATATTCTTCTATTTTTTGCAAATAAGTCTACAAGTGCATGAGTGTGTGTTTGTGTGTACATGTACGAGCGCATGCTTGTGTGTGTGTGTGTGCATGTGTGTGTGTGTGTGACATCTTCCATCAGTCTCACAATCATCACCACTGTGTCAAGTTTTTCACCAATAGCCACCAAGACAGCAACTCCGCCTAATTTAGTACAAAATAAAAATCTGAATTTAATGAACTAACCTCAGTGTCCTCCTCAGGATTTTCTGACGATGCTCTATGCGATGGCGGGGGTTTATAAGTAGTACTGGTGTGATCCATACAGAAAGGGATGTGCTTGTTGGCGGCCGTGGAACTGAAGTACCGATAGCAGAATTGGCACTGGATACGCTCTGTAAGAAATAAGACACATTTCAAAACATTTGACAAATACTCTGGTCAGTAAAGTCTAATTGATTCTGTTTACTCAGGCATTGGTATGGAATTTTGCAGATGAATGTTCTACAAGACACTTAATGATGCTACAAGTCTATTTAGCTTAGTGAACAGGAAAATGATCCACCAAACACCTAAACCACATTATCAGATGTGTGTGTGTTGTTTTTCTTTTGTTGAGGTTAAAGAGACAAAGAAACCATTAAGATGATAAACCACAACACATTTTATGCAGCTGGCTGCCTTCTGGTAAATTTTGGACCAAATTTCAGTTTAATTTCAGACCCTGTGTGAACAGACATTTAAAGTGGCATCTTCATACTTGGATCATTAAACTTGTATGTTGGAGTCTCTTCATGAGATGGGTGTGACTCCTTTTTAGCTGCACGTGAAGCTTTTTTGTCAGAGCGCACTTTATTCAACATTTCCTCTCGTTGCTGGCGCCAGTCGCTCTCTGTGTTGTATCGTGCTGACCACGGGCCGCAGGTTTTTTCATGCTTTATCTGATATGAAAATAAACGAATAGTTATTAATAATCAGACAATAAAGAAATATCATATTAACTTGGAACGAAATTCAACTCAACATTATTTTTTCAACATTAAGCATGCCAGTGACTTACTTTACAGACAAAAAAAAAAAAAATAAATAAATAAATAAATAAATAAATAAAAATAAATAAATAAATTTAAAAAAAATAAATTAAAAAATAAATAAATAATAATTATAATCACATGACAAAATTTGAGATTCACAGAGAACTTTGTAGGCATGTCTTACCAGATTTGTAAGAGTGAACATCTTAGTGCAGTTGGGACATTGGAATTTTCTGATATCTCTGCTGTCTTGTTCCTCATCTAAAAAGAAAGAGGAAAGAGAGATTATAATTTAATGTGTTTCTAACATTGTGATTTATGTTACAGTAACTGTTGAAATATTCTGCCACAACTTGATATAAATTCTATAAAGCTGAAAGTTTCATCATGCTGAAATTAAATTAAAAACCTTGTTGCTCACATGCATATACTGTATATCTGACTTCATGTTAAAAACAGGACTACTTAACTGACAATTAATGAAGCCACAATTCAACCCACTTTATTCAAAGGGTATAAGAAGAGGGTTTTTTTTTTCTGCCACCCTCCTGTCAGATAGCAGTTGAAAATAGCTTTTCCAAGACAGTCATTAAAAGCGGTATGGTTTTGCTTTTATTCTTTTACACAAAGATACATTCACCGTACACTGTGTACATACTAACACATGCACACACACATGCATGTGTGCACACACACTTCTCTTACCATCTTCTGAGCTGTAATAATCCTCAGTCTGGTCAACATAGGGTCCACCAGGCTTTGTCTTAGGAGTCCAGTCAAAGAGGTCATCGTCCAGGTCAGAGTCGTAGCCGTACATGTTGTACTTGTGTTTCTTGTGACGTTGCCTACTGGGCTGAATAAGAGAGGAGACATGAGTTTATTGTTTCTGTTGTTATAAAATGAATGCATATCTTGTTATATGTTATATATGCATATCATGCAATCAGTGTTAGAAATTAATGCTGGACCGTCTGCCAGGGGCTGACAACTTTCAGAACGGGTTGAGAAGTTTTTTCCACCTGGCAGACATTCGAGCCAGCAACTTTTCAAGATGGCTGAATTATCCCAAGAGGCGAACACTGCATGCGATGTATTTAAATGAACATTACTTTGCCTATCATTTTAATTTGTTATCATTTGTAATCAATATAAAATACTCTCCCACTCGTTCCCCCCTCCCCCCCCCCACACACACACATACAGATAAACATACATACGGTTGTATCAATTTTATCAAAATGCTAAATCCACTCCAAAAAATGGTTCCTAAGCAGCCTAGAAAAAGTTTGCTGATAATAAAAATATTTTTCTTCAAGACCATAAAACATTTGCTTTGTATAACACTTTAAAAAACTGCCTTTTGTCTATAAATAGATACTTTGAAAATGCTGTCAAAGTACTCAGTTTCAAGATTTTCATTTCAGATAGGTATGTCTTTTTTACCTTGTGTGGTTTCTGTTTAGCAAAGTCATCCGGGGAGGCACGACTACTACTCCGAAACCCTGGAGTGCGCTGTCCGTACCTAGAGAAGTAAGGACTGCTAAAAATTGGGTCGTCGAAAAATGCTTCAAACTCCGTGTCAAAGTTCCCCATGTTACAGAAAGCACTGAAGGAAAACATGGGGACACCCCCGACATTGAAACTGGTCCTGAAGCTGCGGTTTGGTTTTCTCTCAGTGAATGGTTTTGATTTTGGTTTGGACTTTGGCTTACTTTCCTTATAACTATTGTTGTACTTTTTATAAGCACCAGGCGTGTCATCAGCCGTGTCTGAGGAGTCGTTAAATTTGAAGTCAAACCCATCCCGGAAATTGGAGAAAGGTGAGCTTGTGGAGTAAAAGTGATATCTGGATCGGCCTCCATAACCAGTTTTACTGGAGTAAGATGTACTGCTCTTTGCCATACTGCACTTCTTCTTTATTTCTTCAAAGTCACAATCCAGATGGTAAGACTCTCTGGAATCTTCATCTTTCAGAGCCTCATAGGCCTCTTTCACCTCCTAAATAAGACAAATTCAATATCAAACTGACTAATTTAGCGATGGATTTTTATTTCAGAACAGCACATATTCTGTCTGTCATGAAATAATACAATCATTAAATTTTCAGTGTATTTTAATCAAACAGAAAAATTTAATGTTTAATTTATAACTTAAGAAAACATAACATTGGGCAAATCACATTAAAAAATAAATAAATACCTACCCTAAACTTATCGTTAGCATTGTGGGAGCTGTTTTTGTCAGGGTGCAGCTCTCGGGCCAGAGTGTGGAAGGCCCTCTTGATGTCCTTGTCCCCGGCCCCCCTAGTGAGCCCTAACACAGCATAATGATCCTTCATCTTGATGCTGAATTATCCACTCACCAATATTTCTGGATTTATCACAAATTTTTCTGTTAGTACATGGATGTTTCTTCCTCAGAGTCTGAAAATGTTTGTGTTGGTCAAGGCGTTAGTATGCTGTTGATTCCCTGAGCAAGATGGATCAGGACCAACACAATCTGGAACAGCTAGTCAGTACAACTAACACAATCCTGGCAATGGAGGAGCTACTGAGCACAATGAGGCACAACCAATCACTTCAGGCACATCTAACACAATCCTGGTCCTAGTTCAAGCTGTCCACCCACCATCCTAACTGAGACTGCCACAAAGAGACTGCCCACCCTGAAAATAATAATAACAACATTTTTAGCAAATCACAATACACCTTAATTTTAATCTTTAACTATATATGATAAAATAGGTTTTTCAGTGTCATTTAAGTACTAGTAATGAAGATTAAAAAATTTAGTAAATAGTTTTTAAAACTTTCCCAAACTCTGACTAAGACCTGATGCCCCTTTGACCCTATCATTCATACCATTCCATTCTTACCAACAGAAATAAACACCACAGACACCTGTCCAGAGATTTGTATCAATATAGTATGGAGCAACCTTGCCTTAACCATGGCTGTAGTTACTGTTAGGCTGCCGCAGTGGAAGCACATAGCTCCTCTGGTATTTCCTTTATATACTAGCATTCTAGTAATAAAGCCAGACCCCAAGGAAATGGTCTGCTCCCCCCCACCCCAACTCTCATAGAAGGTGTGCAATTTTCAACAGCGTTTGTGTTATATATTTCATATTCATCAATTATTAAGGTTAATAATATTCAGTAAAAACCACATGTCTGGTTAAACATGTTAAAGTTTTTCATTCAAATATATATATGTGATAGTTTTGAGGATAAGAAGATATGTTATGCTTTGACATCCAAATATAATTTTGTGGGCCCGGTTGCTGATGATCTTTTGTTTTAATTTTACAAAATCAAAGACTCATTGGAACTGGAAATATAGAAAATAGATATTTTCAAATAATAATTATCCCTGTTAAATTCTTTTAAGAAACTGAAATGCTAATTAAGTTAGACTTAAAAAATAAATGATCTTGACTTAAGAAGCCTCTTTATTATATCTTAAGTACCAGAGTCCTGAGAAAATGTTTCAGATAACCCAACTGAATTGACGTAAGAAATTCACTTATTACTTCAGGCAAGCGTACACCTTGTGTAAATATTTTAGCTACTTATAAACCAAAAATAGAATGTTCCAAGACTCCCTGTGGTAACAAACATGCATATAATACCTGTATTACACTGAAGTGATCTAATTCAAGACAACGAAGTTTGTTTAACCATATGCATGCACCAAAATTTCAGCTACTCAAAATTGTTGAACTTCAATATTCTAACCACTCAAATTCAACCAAAAATGTCATAAAGACTACATAATACATGTTCAATGTAGCTGCCAAAACAAAAAGGAAATGGCATACAATACCTGCATTCCTAGAAACTGTTTCAGAGAACTTGACCTAAGTGAAGGTAAGAAATCTGTACTAGTATGTGTATAAAACTATGAACCAATATATTACCCCAGGTTAAAAAAATGCATACCTGTATCCCGCAAAAATTTTTCAGAGAGTCTGACTTAATTCAAGATAGGAAATATTCCATACACCAAACCTGTATTCAGGGAGCCCAATAACTGCAGTCTAGATTCATGCCATAGTTTTCTCCATTTATAACCATGGTGATGTATGTGTGGGAGTCCTAATTGATTTACCTAATGGTATTCAGCAATGACCCAGATCAGACTAACATAGTACCATGCTGATTAGACCTACCTAACACCTCACTAAATTACAGATATCTCTCTCTGTTCTGAATCAGTAAGGAGTATAGATTACACTGTTTGTAAATAATGTTTTTCTAGAATATACTCGAATACAACTCAGGAAATGAAGTTTGTAGTGACTGATACTTTAGTACACCTCGCAAAATTATATCATACAAACTCTAAGACTAGAAACTTCCAGATTTCCTGGTAATTTTTACCCTGAGGTTCAGACGACGCTGAGAAATCACCTACAGTATATCTACTATCCATATGGCTGTAGTTCATACTGGACACATAATGACTTTATGTCCTTTGGAACTCAGGGCAGGTAATTTTGGTGAGAGACTGATTTTTAAAAATATTCTCTGACGCAATTTGATAAAAAAAGTAGGGAAAAAAATCAATATTTACCTTGACATTAATATTCCAAGCACACTGAGAAGTCTACAAGCCAGGTAGGAAAGTTAGCAGCTAGAACTAGACAGTTTCAACCTTTAAACTTGTATCTATCTTTCTGTCTATGTTCACTGCTCAGGTAAGTAAAAAAACAGGTGTTGACCTCAATTTGCAAAGAGGTGAACCCTAACTGCTGCCAAAAACGCAATATAACTCCCGTCTGAATCAGCCAGACAGGTAATGCTTGGGGAGTGAATGGCTGACTAGATCTACCCACATGCATTCTTTATAGTAATTCTGATTGAAATAAGCTGTTTTTGTACATGAACTGTAGCAAAATATTATTGATATCAAGCCTGGAAGTTTCTTGATGAGTACTTTACTACTTCTCTAAATAAATTCATTTTTTAAATATATTTTTATACATCATAATTATTCCTGTTTCTGTCTGCATATGTACAAGTATGTGAAAATAAAACAGGAGTGGCTACAGAATGTGGGCTTAATTTACCTGTAATTTACCTGTTATGTCAACTTTAATCCATCTAACTGATTACATGTATAAAAAAACAGAAGGCTGTTGATTGGAATTATTCAGCAGACTTGGCAAGACCCAAGTTTTGATAACTTAAGACCTGCTGTGTCTAGCCTACATGACCTGGCTAGACAAAATAAGATGGAGAAAAAGAAAACTTAAGAAAAATAAGATAAGAAGATAAATTTTAGTACACCAGTTAAAGCTACTTTAATCTGATGAAATAGTATCTGTAACGACATGCCAACTACTGGTGCATATACATGTATGTAAATGCAGATACAGAATTAGAGTAAATATTTAGAACAAATCCAAATCTATAGGATCTATAAAACTTTTCTAACTACTGGTAGTAACTTTTGGTTATTCAAGTCTCAATTTTCGTAATACATTCATGGGTGTGATTCTTCATACTGTAAATAAGACCCCATTTCCAGAGATAACATAGGTCTACTTTAGATCGACCTAACTCCCTGGGGGTTCACGCTAAATAGCTGTCAGCCGAGCGGACCCGAAAGTTAATTACCCCCTTACAGCTTGTAGTAGGCGGGACGGACATTTAAGCTGGATTATCTGACAGTAATCTAGTGAGACTCCCCGTGGGGATAGATCGATCAAAAAGCTCTGGGAATACAGCCTAAAGCCCCTTCACATTTGGATTATTTTCACCACAATGGAAATAAGTGTAAAAAGCTTTTTGTGCTATCATATGTAATATCAATGTGTGTGTGTGTGTGTGTGTGTGTGTGTGTGTGTGTGTGTGTGTTTATTTTATTGCAAAATAAATATGTACTTTTGCAATATCCACCCACACTGTAATTCCCTAATTTTTTAAAAATATAATCAAAATTAATTTTTTTGGTGACTGATCAATGTCTCTGCTATTCAAATAAATAGTTTGGAAATTTAATAAGTCATTTTAATATTTCACGATGAGATTGCAGCAAATCTTCACCCCAGCTATAACCTCGATCAGCTCTCATACAGTAATACATGTAGAAGGCATAAAATTTCATGTGATAAAAAACATCTTAAAATAAGTAAATGGATTGCCAACGACTTTATTTGAGTAGTGGAGACACTGCTGAAAGTCACCACACCTATAAATTTTGAAAAGATACTGAAAATGTTCAAAGAGTTATATGGTGAGGAGGATACTGAAAAGTGCCCATTTATCTTTATCAAATTTTACCCAACGTACTGTAGAGTTCACAAATATAATTCCCAGACGTTTTAATTAATTTGATTAGAGTCGATTGCTTGTGCACTCGACTATTTTATGACCTTACCTGTAATTATGTAACTTAAGTGGACGTGTGCAATCTGAATAATTAAAATTAGTATGTACCGCCAAATAATGCAGCACAGAAGCCACCTCTGATAAGAAATATTCAATTTTTATATTGTATAAAAGAAGTTCAGAATTAATATCGGGAGTTCAGACTGGAGAAGACTCGAAGGTGACCGCTCGACAGAGCCATGCGAGACGGCTTGATAGTTGGAGACTTCACGTAGACGATGTAGTTAGAGAGCGTCAACCAATAAACCATTAAATAATGTATATGTAAACAGGGGGTGGAAACGCGCTACTTATATGATTATGACGAGCCTAACCGTCAGCACCGGATATTAGTTTGTGACCTTGAGGGGCTATTAGGCTTTGTCTTTGCGGCACGCACGAACAGTAGTCGATCTACCACACCTGGGTCTTTTGTTTTTGACAACTGTTCACTCGTCAAGGCGGTGCTTGTTCAAGACTACAGACTGATATCTACTAGTACTACCAGTGGCTTCATTAGTAACGTTCCCACAATACATAGTTTTCTGTCTGTGCGTACATACCCTGAATTTGGTTAGCCTCACTGACGAGAACAATGGACGTTTCTTACCCCTCTCTAGGATTACCCCTGATGTAAAGGTACATAACAGTACGTGTACAAAAACCGATTTAGTAGTACGGTAAAACTTAAGAAAAGAAATAGCTAACCATTTCATGCAGACGTATGATCTCCTATCATATTCCACACATGTCATTGAGCACAGTTCACACCATTTAAATCACCTGCTCAACGCGTTTACGACAGAACATCAGCTTACCTACCTCCAGCTGGCAGCGTACTTGACAACATTCCTTTGAAATTAGGTCAAGGTGAAGGTCGCACTTTGTTTTTTATCGTTTATGAAATGTAAACATGCCATATTACCTAGGGCGTGCATTCACTGTCACAAATGACCAAACTAAATACAAAAATAAATCACACAGATGAAACTATTTCGTCATTTCTTCACAAACAGAAACTTTATGCTGTGTTGGTGAAGAAATAAAGATGGCGCCACATTGAATTGTAAAATGGGTAAAATAGTATCGGTGTTTGGCTAGCAAAGCAAAAATGATAAAAAAAATTAATGCCTAATTTTTAATATATTTTTGATGTCAGCGCCATAATTACTAATGTGAAAATGTATTTATGTTTTGTATTGGAATGAACAATATATGCATGCATAGAAAATCACAAACAAGAACAAAGCAATGATTTTATGAAAAAAAATAAATAAAACTAACTTGCAGGACACTCTAATGCAGTATTATTGCCTTAATTTCAGTGCCATTTGGTGGTCAACGTACTGTATGCTTGGAGTCACCCTTCTTGACAACCCAAACATGGCACTTTGCCTTTGAGCGTGCCAGTGTGGAGTGTGTGTGTGTGTGGGGGGGGGGGGGGGGGGTAACGTTACACAGCAGTGTTAAGGCTGCATCATGCAAAGTTCAGCTTATGGATGCATTAACGTGACATATTGCTGTAATTCAGTTACAATAGCATCCAGTTAAAATAGAAAGTAGGGTTTTTAATACTTTCATAATACAAATATATTGAGAACTATGCAATTTTCGTCTTCTTGTTTATAATAAATTCATTGTGACCCGGAAGTAAAAAGTAACCAATCACGTCTCGCCACACCGATTGCCGGCACCTTCCGCTATAGTTCAACGTGTTCTTAATTTCGTGTTTAAAATTCCGACTTAAAGTTGACGCTTGCATCACTAGTCCGTATTTCAAGATTGAGCAGGTAGGTTTAGTTAACTGTTACACCGTCTGCATTGTTTTCTTTCAATAATGTACTTTGTCTTTGATTGTCAACTATTTGAAGTCTTGTACGACATTTCACACATGTGCACATCTCTGTCAACGACAATGTGACAATGACATTGTTACAGAATTTTTTTCTTAATGCCGACTGCTTGGATAAAATATAAATAATGACAACAAAAAGATCACACTTGGAATGATCAACTTACCAAGATGTTTAACTGAATGTGAAGAATTCAGTAAATTTGACATATTAATTTTATTACCTTTAAATAAAAATATGGCATGATTAACATTTGACTGCATAATTGCCGGTGCATTGTCTATGAACCCCTTAAAAATCAAGTGTATATATTTTCTTTTTGTTGACGAAATTCATTATGGTCTAACTGTTATGACAAAAGTTTTTCACACCTGACAACAGGGAATTAAATTGGTGTTTATTTATATCGCAAAGACAGACAAAATTCCCTTGTTAAGTGTAGGCTGTGACCAATCTTATATATTACACATAGTTGACTTAAAATGATTGCTGGGCTTATCTTTATGACAGTGTTGCTGGTGAGCTACTTGGATATATATTTGTTTGTATTTTCAGGATACATTTGCTGTAAGATGAGACAAAGTACTAAAATCCTGGCAGCATTGTTGCTGCTGGGATATTTATGGACAAGCGCAGGTAAATTATAGGCTTTTCCTATTAATTATTACTCTGCATACTACTCTGTTAATATGAAATATTGAACATGAATGGGAAGTATATAGATAAACAAGCTTAAGTTTAAAAAATCGGGGATAGATGTAGTTTTTTTTATCTCTATAAGTCTACGTCATTTAATATTATTATTCAGTGGTTTATTATTTCCAGAGGGTATGGCAGTGATGTCAGTAGATCTAGGAAATGAATTTATGAAGATTGCCATAGTGAAGGTTTGACGTGCACACTTTTCATCTGTTAAAATTTTTCAGTTAAACTTCTATATTAAGTTAGCTAGGTAAAGTTTGTAATCAAATCCTATAATCCTTCTGAATTACAGGTATAAAAATCTATTTTTATGTGTGAAATTTGTAAAAATCTAAAATCCTGAAAACATAACTTGCAATTTCTCATTGCATTGAGAACGTGAGAAAAAAAAATGCGATTAAAAAGAGAGACTAAAAATCCTAAAACTAGGCATAATCCTGAAAATTTTCACCTATGTGTCTTTATAGATCTATGATATTGGAGAACCATGTATTTTTTACTTTAAGAAAAATATTATAATCTCTCATATTATACTTTCAGCCTGGAGTCCCTATGGAAATTGTCTTAAATAAGTAAGTTGTTTCTCATACACTCTGTCCTCCTCCCTGCTTTGTCAATTCTTTTGTCTTGAATAAGATATTTTCTCTCACATTCTATCTCTTTCCTTGTTTCTTTCTGATAAAATAAGCATTAATTGCTTTAATTTCAATTGATAAATATAAAAAAGAATAATACTACATGTACAGGCACCTGTATATGGTTTCTATACACTTATTAACAAAAGCACACCTGCATGGTCATTAAGTGTCTCATCTTAACTCTTTCAGAGAGTCGAGGAGGAAAACTCCAGTTGTTGTAGCATTCCGTAATAACGAGAGAGAATTTGGGGACCAAGCCATGAATACGGTAAATGTTGATGCTGGAATAAAGCAGCCAAACACCAAAACTGTTTCAAACTCATAAAGCTGGTTGCCATAGTCTGATTTATTATAATTATATAATATAAGATAATAAAGGCCAGCATGGGGCCATGCTAAAAGCTGGTTGATCTGGTTTATATCATGCACTAAAAAATTTTAAATTATAGAATAACTCTACAGTTTCATAGGTGTGATATGTTATCTCGTTCTTCTTTTTCTATAGGCTGTCCGTTACCCAGCCAATGCCTTCCTCTATCTGAAGGATCTCCTGGGGAAGAAAGTGGACAACCCAGTAGTGAAACATTATCAACAGAGGTTCCCTTACCATAACATTGTACCCAGTGATACGGGGACAGTTATGTTCCAAATAGATGAGTAAGTGATATAGGGGAATCATATTATTTAGTCGGAAAGGATTAGAGACATGGTCGTGGTAGTTCAGGTAACTGTAGGTGATAGGAAGGGTGCCACATGTGCTGCTATTTGGGTTGTTTTGCCCCCAGAGAAATGAGATTGTTTTAGGATCAAACAGATCGACCAGGTGTAAATTGTAAAGCTGAATTGTTATGTCTTTTGAGACTTTAAATGGTATCATTTAAAAGTACCCCAAGGGCGTATTCCCAGAGCTTTTAAATCGATCTATACCCCCGGGGAGCCTCACTAGATTACTGTCAGATAATCCGGCTTAAATGTCTGTCCGGCCTACTACAAGCTGTAAGGGGGTAATTAACTTTCCTTCACGCTCGGCTGACAGCTATTTAGCGTGAACCCCCAGGGAGTTAGGTTTGTCTAAAGTAGATCGATCTAATCTCTGGGAATGGGGTCCGAGTGTTGCACTGTAGAAGCATTGTCTATGTGATATCATGCATGCTTGTAAACAAGTGTTTTTAAATGACATATAATATATAACATGTTGTTCATACAGAAGACCTTGCATATAACACACTTATTGGAACCGGTTATTTTTATCCCTGTTGTGTGAAAAGTTCACTAAAAGAGTATAGCCATGTTCGTGGTTAGGTGGGTCTGGGGGTTCTCAGATTCAGTACATTAAAGATGTGAGTTCAGGTAATGTGAACTCATTTAGTGCAAGGTTTGCTGTATAAGTAGAAACATTGAATTGTGAAGTTTGTGGCTGGTACTAACTGCATGTTCAGATCACTGTCACTGTTAGTACACTGGTTAGTACGCTGGGCTGTGAAGGTGATATCTACTAGGTGATATAGGGCATGGAGCGGGAAATGTCCAAGACTGATGTTATTTTCATATAGAGCCTTTTTAATATATGGCATGGATTTTCACTGAAATTCCTTTCAGTACTAACAAATTTTGCACAATTGTCATTTATTTTCAAAACATAGATTGCTTCAAATTCATTTAAAAAAATAATATTTAAAGTTTTGAAAGTTAAAAATTGAAAAGATTTAAAGTCAGCATACTGAATTTATTTTAACACAGCATAATTTTTTCAATTTGACATTTTTTTTGACAAACACACATCTTATTTTATATTTTATGATAAACTAAATACTCTTCCAAAAGTTTTCTGAATGGAAGGTAAAGGTAAAAATTATCAAATTTCCTGCTGCCAAGAGAAACACTTTCTCAGTCTGTACATTCCCCTCCTTGCAGAGTTCATCTTCGCAGCCCACATTCAAAACCTAGTTTTGGGTAGGTAGATAAAAACCAATATTTTTCAGAATTATTTTAGTGTTTATGTTAGTTAGTACGACCTTAAACCTTAACTAATCTTATTTGTGAATAATTTTTTTGCAATTGTTACTGTTTTTGTTTTTTTTGGCCATTGAAGTTGTAGAAGAGATCATCATATTTTTTCTCTTTTTTATAAGGCAAAATTAAAGGAACCATATTAAATGCTTTTCAGGAAAATTGTGGTAAAAAAAAAACAAAAACAAAAAATAAATCCATTTGTGTTATTGACATTGTACTTTATATTATCTCTGTTTCCAGGAACACCAAGTATTCTGTAGAAGAACTCCTAGGAATGGTGCTCCAGGAAGCCAAACACCTGGCTGAGGGATTCGCAGGTGAGAATTGTAGAATTATTATTGATTTATAAGAGAGCTATTTTTATAAAAAATCATTTGTAAAAAATCATTTGTAGACTGCAGCAGGTATGAAAATGATATAAACTGCTGAATAAGATGTGTATTTATCTGTTTCAAAATTCAAAAGAATAAAACATTATTAAAATGTTCTTGAAATAGAATACCACACTAAGCATCCAGTTTTTTTCCTGATGAAAATGAGAAAGTGATGAAGTGCAACATGCCAAACAGTGATAGTATTACTTTCAATTGTCAAGTATTTTTCTTTATATTATCAATAATTAATTGTTTATTTATTTTCTTAAACATTTTCTAAAATAGTGCTTATTGGATAAACTAAAGATAAAAATCAATTTGTAATTTTTTTCAAATTTAAAGTATAAGTTGTTTGATTGGATAATTACTACATTTTAATATTTGAAAAATATATATTTAAGAGCAACCAATATCTGATGTGGTGATCACAGTACCTCCATTCTTCAACCAGGCAGAGAGGAGGGCGATGAACCTGGCCGCGGAGTATGCTGGTCTCAAACTGCTGCAGCTTATGAATGATAACTCTGCAGGTAAATAGCATTTATAATTGTACAATTTATTTTGTCTAATTGTTTAGTGAGTAGCTAATGGAAAAAACTTAAAAGGTAAATAACACTTCATCCAAAAAGAAGAAACCTAATCCCCCCCCTCTCAAAAATATTTGAACTGTTTTACAGATCATGAAGTGTGTGTACAGTATTTAGCCATTCATATTTGCCATACATTAGTGTGTATTAGCAATAGTGCGCATTAAAAAACTGTATTAACATTATATGGATTTCCTGTTATTATTTTTGTTCTCTGTCTCTCTCTTCATACATAAACAATTGTTTTCCCACAGCTTTGATACAAATTTTAGACATCAAATTTTTCCCCCACGCAGAGCAATATAATGGTTACAAGATACATTTCATACAAATTCTGATACCATATTTCCTATTCCAGTTGCACTGAATTACGGAGTGTTCAGGAGAAAAGAATTTAACGGCACGGCACAACACTATATGTTCTTTGACATGGGGGCCACCAGCACCATAGTAACCATTGTGGGTAAGTAGGGTTGCCATGGAAACGGCCACAGTGATGTCATGACAGGTATATTTAAAGTCACACAATGAGTAGTTTGGGCTTTTTATAGTAAGCATTAAATTATTTTCCTGGAAAATTCTTTTTCCCGAAATAAACAAAGATCTAAATTATCAGATAGCGCCCACAGAATTTGAAGGCATAAAATCTTTTGGGTACCTCTTAGCTTGTAATTGAGGTAGAGACCAGTTTACTGCACTTGTGATGGTAAAAATGTGAAACTTAGGTCTCAAAAATGGGTGTTTAGATCATAGTTTTGTCAACAAATTTCACAAATGTACTGGCATTTTGCTAAAGGTCTAACAAGAATGGTATATACTTTTTGCATTGATTCTGAATCAGAGTTCATGTTTTATGACAGACTTTATGACTATATTGTATATCTAAGTGAATGATATATCTTTTTTAATATGAAGAAGTGAACTATAATATTGTGTATGGTTTTGCATTAAATATCTTTATTAGATTATCTGTTATTTATTTTCTTTTTCTTCAGGTTACCAGTTAGTGAAAACTAAAGAGGGTTCTTATACTGAGACGAACCCTCAGGTGACAGTTAAAGGTGTTGGGTAAGTGAAAACAGGTGTGTGGGTACATGCCTCTACCCCAGTAACACATGTCAAGATATTTCTGACGTAGAGCAAGATGAGATGTTTAGCAGACAAGTCAGAAGCATAATCAATGAAGATTTATTAGATTTTGTTTTGAAAAATGCAGGTCTCAGTTTTCAATCTTTCCTCCTAAAAGTCTGTTGTCTGCTCCACATGTTTTCTTACATTTACAACACTATTAAACCCAAGCATGCAATAATTACCCAGTGAGTCATCCACACAACCTGACTTGATACTTTTCCTAAAAATGTCTTATTTATTAGTAAAACTAGAAAATGTTGATTCAAAATTTTTGAAAATTAAGTTGGCTTTGTTTCAAAAAGTTTATTTTAAAAGTTGCTAATGTCAAAATATTAATACATTTTTGAAAACAAAATAATCCCCCCCCCCCCCCCCAAAAAAAAAAAATCATTTAAAAAATGTGTTTTCCATTTTGATTTTCCACGTAGGTTTGATCGTGATCTCGGTGGCCTGGAGTTCCAGTTGAGGTTCCGCGACCATCTGGCAAGATTATTCAATGGCCAGAAGAAGACCAGCTCTGATGTCTTTCAGGACAAGAGGGCCATGGGCAAGCTGTTTAAGGAGGCTGGGAGGGTCAAGAATGTCCTCAGTGCCAATACTGACCACTTCGCTCAGGTGAGGGTTTAAGGTTGTTTAATGTTATTAACTTCAGGTTTACCTTAGACTGTTACCATCAGTGAACTGTGTGAAATCAACTGTTTTGTGTTGTTGTTAATTCATAAAAAGACGGAAGACTCTTAGATTTATCAAGATTTTTGGATATTTGTAAAAAATTATAAAAGATTTTCTGAGGGGCATACCCTGGGGGGCATACCCTGGGTCTTTCATATAAAGCAGCCTGCCTGCTGGGCTTGCATTTTAGGGATTTCTTTAAGAAAATCCACTTCATCTCTGAAACATAGAATCTCTTTGTTTATATCAGGTTTCTTTTTAAAAACCTCCACTTCATCCCATATACATAGAATGTGTTTATTTCCTCCAGGTTGAGTCCCTGTTAGATGACCAGGACTTCAAGGCCAAAGTGACCAGAGAAGAGCTGGAGGAGATGTCCCAGGACATGCTGGACAGAGTGGCCAAACCTATAGAGGACGCACTTAAGGTGTCTCAGATGACCATGGTGAGGGCTCCTTTTAATATTTTAATTAATTAATTTATTTATTTATTTTGTACTGCCCTGCAGAAAGCTGTTGTAAGACAATTGCAGGACACAAAACAAGAACTGAGTTTGTTTTTTGACTGACAATAATATTTTTATATAAAATTTTAATGGGAAATAGAATTTTTTATGTTAGATTTCTGCCTGAGTGCCCCGCCCCTCAGCCTTTCCTTTGTACTTCTTTCTTACAACCAAAAAATCACCTTCATATTGAGCTAAATATTATGAATTGCTTCACAGTAAAGTCATGGCTGTGGAACAGAGATATCACATTTTGTGTTATCACAGCTATATTCCAAATGATTTGAGATATTACTTTTCAATGATGATAATAACAAAAATAACTATACACAATATTTTCTCTTACCTGTTATTTTATTTATCAGGGGGAGATCAAGGAGGTAATCTTGATGGGGGGAGGGACCAGAATGCCCAAGGTCCAGGAACTCATCTCCAAGGCTACAGGAAGGTGAGTAGAGAACTCTGTATTCCCTCACTATATTACATAGTGAAATCATGTAAGTTCAGTGACATATACAGTGTACCAGTAGTTCTCTAAAGATTTATTTTGTGACAAAAAAGGGTTTGACATCAAAACTTATCAGTGAGTACCTCAAATAATTATTAGTTGATAAAATAACTATGTTATGATATATTATGTATGTGTATTTTGCTTTCGTTACTTTGGTGAGGGAATTTTGAGGATTGCATCCTTCCATCTGTCATTTGTCATATCAAAACCTTGTAAAACAATAATTGTGTCACCGAGTAGCCACAAAACTGAACACAAAGCCCTCATAAGAACAGTATGGAGATTTATGTAAATGTCATGAATTTGACCTGGACACACAACCTCGACCTAGACCCCATTTCCATAGATTTTAGATCGATCTATCCCTGTAGGGAGTCTCACTAGATTACTGTCAGCTTAGCCGGCTTAAGCATCTGTCCCACCTACTGAAAGCTGTAAGGGGGTAATTAACTATGGTGCGCGCTCGGCTGACTGCAATTTAGCTTGAACCCCCAGGGAGTTAGGTCGATCTAAATCTTAATCCTTGGATCGATTGAAATCTCTGGGAATACACCCCTAGATGCACATATAACCTTCACCTATTTACATGGCATTGATATATATTGAATTCTGTTCCATATCATATAAATATATGTATGCAGATAAATAGCACTGAAGTGCATCAGTCATGTTTCTCTCCCCCAGACAGGAGCTTGGCAAAAGCATCAACACAGACGAGGCTGCTGCGCTTGGAGCTGTCTACCAAGCCGCTTTCCTCAGCAAAGGATACAGAGTCAAGAAATTCCTGGTCAAAGATGCTAATCTTTACCCTATACAGGTGAGATAATGCAGGTTACTTCAGTTAGCTGTAGTGTGATATATCTGTGTTTTGTGTGAAAGCTTGAAAGCTGTTTATACTCTTGGCCCGTGAAATTCACCTTTTAATAAAATTAAAGTATTTAAACAAAATACATATATCTAAAATAACTTTGTAGCTCATGTGTCATAGTTTTATTTTGATTTTCCATTTTGGAAAAAAGGCATTTTATATTTGTTTTTAGAAATAAAACTTGCTGATAATTAATCTCACAGTGCAAAAAATGATATACATTCACTGTAAGTAAATAATTAATCACATGTAGCTTTGATATATATTATAGACACCAGCAAAGCCTACACAGTTTCATATAATGGCAGTCTAATAAAAATGTCATATAATATATTGCCATGGTAAACTGTTTTAATACCAAATCATTTGTTGCACAGGTTGAGTTTGAACGACAGAAGGAAGGAGAGGCTGTCAAGACAATCAAACGCACCCTGTTTGGCCGTATGAATCCTTACCCACAGAAGAAAGTGATGACATTCAACAAACACACCGAGGACTTTAATTTCCGTGTGAACTATGGGGACCTGAGCTACCTGGATGAGGTGGATGTCAAGTAAGTGAAGAAATTGGAATTTTGTTTTTTTTTTTGGGGGGGGGGGGGGGTTGAAAAGAGAAAATGTGTGTTAATGTGTACATATGCACCCAGAGAGAGAGAGAGAGAGAGAGAGAATAAGAGACAGTACATAACAAAAAGAGAGACAAAAAATAAGAGACAGAGACAACATAACAAAAAGAGTAAGAGAAAATAAGAGACGGAGAGTATTTAACAGAAAGAAAGAGAGAGAGAGAGAAACATTTTGCTGAAAAACACAGGAAGAAAGTTCCCATTCTGAATTAAACATGTATATTTAACTTATTTTCAGGAATTTTGATTCCCTGAATCTGACCAAGGTGACTTTGAAAGGAGTCAAAGCTGCCCATGAGAAGCACAGTAAGGATGCTGAGAGCAAGGGAGTCAAGGCACACTTCAGAATGGATGAGAGTGGAATTTTAACTCTGGACAGGGTCAGTTGATTATTTGTAGAATTTCTAATAAGTATCATTCCACTTCTTTCTTCTTTCTCCCTTCATAGCAAATTTTTTTTCATCCAGTGGCATATAACTTATCACATTAAGAGAATTATGTACTATTGGCTATAGGTCTGAAATACCGAATGGATGACCTATGAATTTTGAAAAGTAACAAAGCTTGTTTTAACGTTCTACAGAGCACTAATCTCTTGCAAGTTTTAATACAATGGCATTTGTTTTAATCAGTTAGTTAATATTTATTTTTTTACCTTCACCAGGTGGAATCAGTTTATGAAAAAGCTCCTCCTCCGGAAGAAGAATCTACCCTAGCAAGTAAGGGACATTTTTACCATAAGATAATGTTTTTTTTCCACTTAAACTCGCAGAATTACTTTTGTTTTGAATAAAGTTTTCATTCAAATGTATATTTTACTAAAATGAAGTGGTTTCATGCAAAAGTTTAATCAGTGAATTTATGTCTGGAGTTTATTTTTCAGAACTTGGTAACACCATTTCCAACTTCTTCTCTGGTAAGAGTGAGGAGGAAGGAAATGTTGAAGACAGCAAAGAGAAAGATGACAAAGGGAAGGAGAACGGAGGAGAAAAATCTACGGACAGTAAAGATGACACATCAGAGGTGAGAACTTTTAGATGACATTTTAAATTTGATGAAAAATAAAGGAGTAACTTAAAGCTGCAGCAAATTGAATGGCTTTATATGCAGCTTCCACTTCCTTAGTTGAAGCTTGCTAGAATAATTTATTTTCAATATTAGGTTATATTGTTTTAAGTTAGAGGGCAAATTTTTTGTTTATTTAATTTCTTAATTTACTTTGTTTTTGGCGCATTGAAAAAATATAAGAAGATCAAAATTTCTAAGAATAGAAATTGAAATTTAATTTGAATATAATACTAAGGCTTTATCTATAGCATGTAATTGCATGTTAACTTATGTTATCTCATCAGCCTAAATTTTATTTTTTGATAAATGTTTGACATACAAGTACAAGCTAAAGAATTTTGATGCAATGAAAAAAATAAATGGGACTTTGTGAATGATTTAAGAATTTGAAAAAATTCAGATCCCAATTTAAGTATACCCTCTCTTAGACACTAACCTTCAGTCACGAAGTAACAAATTGCTGCTCACAAATCTCGGTCTTGGATAATTATGGTCAGCATATGTTTTCTCTAAACCTCATTCTTAAGACCGCTTTTTGCATTCCTGTTGTTAACATATGCCAGACTTGTCTGTTCTTCAAATCTCTGTATGTAAATTTTCCTGTTTAGCTCACAGTTTAACTCAAACAATGGTATTATGTTAAATAGATCTCTGGCGACATCCTTTCTGATTGTGCCTCATTATAGACCAACACATGGTCCTGGATTTAAGACACTAACTTATTTTCATAATATATATTATAACCTACTTTGCTTGCTTTTATTGTTTTTTTTTCCTCTTATTTGGATCTTGGTTATTTTTGTTGAAGTTGGACTAACCCTTCTATGCACAGACTACGTTTGGGATTTTTCATGTTGGTGAAAAACTACAATACATGTGGTTAAACCAAACTATTCAGGCCCATGACCTACAATTTCAAAGGGGTGGGGGTCTTATTTCTGAAAATTGCCTTGAAACCGTCGTGTACCTAAATTAGTTTTTACCCAGAGGGAACCTTTTTCCTGACAAAAAGGGTACGCTTCTTTTGAACCCCTTCCCCCCCCCCCCGACCCCCCTGACTAAGCACCTGCTATTGGTCCAGTGATGGAAGGGTTAGAACACATTTAGCTTCATATTTTGCCTTTGCATATTTATTTTTAGTTTCTGTGGCTTATTTTGTTGCTCTTGCTCTACTGTATCTTCTTGCACTGTGGAATTTGTCTCCATGTTGTTAGCAGGACAAGAAGGAGAAAAAACAGAGTGATAAGGCTAAAGAGGAAGAGAAAGAGAAAAAGGAAGAGAAAACAGAGAATAAAAAGGACACCAAAGCTCAAAAAGAGGAAGTAAAGAATGAGAAGAAGGAAGAAAAGACAGATCAGAAAAAGGTGCTTTATTTGAAAAAACAAACAAACAAAAAATTGAAGTGGGTAACACCCATCACAAACTACCAGGGAAAGTGATTGTTATCTTTACCGTGTATGTTGTGTTGTGCAGGTTAGGATTTCTTTCTTTGAAAAATGGTGAAAGTATTTATGCCTCTTTGTTTGTAAAAAGTATTTCAGTTTGCTTACAATAATTTATACTTCCGACCTCTCATTAATTTCCCTTCTTCATCTTCGAATTCATTTTTGGTTCCATCTTCAGGTTTCAGCCAAATATATAAAACAAACATTGCCATGACTTCTATATAAAAATAAAAAGTGAAAACATTCGGTTATTTTGGGAATGAAAGATTTGTATCTGGTTAAAGGGATACCTACAAGTACCACTTACAGTACTAACTTTCTTCCAGGTAATTTCAAACATGGTGGGGCACCCCCCACCCCCAACCCCAACCCCACCCCCTACATCATTTCTGCAATCTCAGCTCCTATACTTGTGTATAATTGGTACTGGTACATTTAACTTTGGTAAAATATACACACTGAATTCTTGTGATGAAATGTTTGTTTCTGAATCAGTATTATACAGATATTGTAATAATAATCATATTATAATGTTCTAGAGTGTCACTGAGTGATACAAAAAATATTTTGGACACTGTATTGAAAAGTGTTGAGTTTAAAGGCTAGCCCAACTGACCAGTTATGATTGTTTTGTATGGGTTGATTTATTATTAAAAATATATAATAATATTATGGTAATAGTAAAAAAAACATACTAAACTAAAAGCATGAGATAAAACACAAGTTGATTCAGAGGGTGTCTCTTCTCCCTTTAGCCTCTTTTTTAAATTAAAAGTGGGCCTTACCCCTCCAAACATGAGGCCTGCAACAAATTGCCACTACCTTGTAAAATGTCTAAAATTACACCTTTGTTTTGATCAGATTTTTGTGCCCCGTCCTTTTCTTTATTTCCCATATTATCCAGCATGTTTCCAAGGCAGAGAGGTAGTTGTACCCTTATATGAAACAGCTTGAATGAATTAGGATAATTGTTTACATAAAAACAATTAATAAGACTGTAATTGTAATTGACATTTGATTAGTGTTGTTGGGAGCATGGCTGCTGGAGGGGGGTTTGTCTGGTTAATTCCTCAAAAAGATAGTATTAAACAATAAAACTGATGAAATTCCTTCAGTTTTGTCTTATAAATTGGTTTTTATTACTGGTAATAGTAACAGACAAAATTAAAAGTTATTTTCTAATTTGATATTCTGTATGTCAGACTCTGTAGTTCAGGTTCTGAATGTGTTATTTTCAGGATGAGACACCAAAGGAAGGCAAGGCAGACAAAGGTGAACAGAAGGGCAACGAGACCACTGACAAGAAAGATGGTGATGCAGCCAAGAATGAGACAGCAGAGGAAAAAGTGAGATATTTTTGTGACATATTAATGATTGATTGTTTTAATGGCATACAATGATATTAACACTTGATCTTGTACAGTAATAACCCTGGACTTTGCATGCTTCATGTAGGCGATTTCACATAGCTGATTTTTCACAATAATATAAAGATGTAATTTTTTTTTGTTTGGCAAACATGAGCTATGCTGTTTTTTTCTGGATAAATTGATGACAGAATGAGATCCCCCTACCTTTCTTCACTGTTGTACTTCTGAAAACTGTTGTGAAAACTACCCTTTGTGAAAATTGTGACTGTATGTCACCCAGAAGAACCATATGGATGAAATATTGAATAACATTTACTATCTTGCTCTCCAGAAACCACCTAAACCAGTGACTATAAAAGAGGAGATCACACCAGAGTCCGAAATCCTTGACCTCCTGCCGCCCAGCGAGGACGCAGTGAAAGCTTCAATAAAAGTGTGAGTACATTTGTTTTATACAATGTGACTGTGTTTTGATCAGCTGCCATATTTGTCCACAGGGAGATTTCTGGATTGTTTCTAGAGAGAGATACCATTCGGACGACATGAAACTTTCAGTATTATTTCTTATTGAATAACTCCATTAAGGCCATTATGTGTTCTTGACTTTTAGGAGGAAAATATTTAACATTATAGATATATAGATCTGCAGGACATTTAGCATAGAATGTGACTTAGAGAAATACATGTAGTGTATTCCTTAATATTTAATGTTGTTTCTCTGCCAGACTGGAAAAACTAAAGCAGAAGGACGAAGATAAGATTAAACTGCAGCAGGCCCATAATGCACTGGAATCTTTTATATTTGATGCCCAAGATAAGCTGTACCAAGAACCTTATGAACAAGCATCCACCGAAGAAGAAAGAAGCATGCTCCGAGAAAAATTAACAGCAGCATCTGATTGGTTGGATGAGTCAGATGTGACAAATACAATACAGGTAGGAACCGAACTAAAGTTGATAACAAGGTGTGATTATAAATTAGTAAAGCCTTTTTATGAGGAGATATAATTTGAGAATGACATTTTGAGAAAAAATTAAATTTTTATCTCACTTTTTTAAAATGTTGCTTATGGAAATATTTTCTTTATGTTTAGGAATTCAAAGATCAACTCAAAACTCTTAAAGATGCCACTTATGCCCTCTATGAAAGAGTAAGAGAACACAGCGAGAGACCCAAAGCACTTGAAGCACTGAAGGATATGTTGAATTATACGGATATGTTCTACAAAGGAGTTAAAAATTTGACAGAGAGCTTAGACGACCAACCTTATACAGAAGTAGAAGTCACAACCTTAGAAAAGTTAATAAATGAAACAAAGGTTTGTATTGGCTGTTTTTATATCCTTTATTCTTTTTAAATCTGATAAAATATTATTCAAACGTTTGGTTGTGTATATGTGCAATTATGTTTATCTGAGGATAATTTTATATCAAATTTGTTGCAATTTATCAATTTTGAGATCCCCACACTTTTTTCTGGGATAGAAAGAATTAGACATTTTAAGTATTTTAATACTCTCACTTTCATCAAAAATACGTTCATATGTTTTTCAGTTAAAATCGTTACAAATACAAGTTTTAAAGAGAATGTGTATTGGGAAAGATATGTAAATTGTGAAGTCAGTGGGGATTTTCATAGATTTATAGAGTGAAGATCTAAGTATAGAACAAAATTCTTGTTCTTGATTTGAAATGTTTCTGTAATGGTAAGTTCATTTTGAAAATAGTTTCTTTTTGTCTTTTGTGTAATGATGATGATGAAGCAGAAAATTGTTTCTTAAGATACCAAACATGTTTTCTACTTGAATATGAGAAATGATGTTTCTCATTGACACGTTAGTCGTGCATGTGGTGAAGATCCTTTATTGTTAGTAAGTGTGACTGAGTCGGACTTCAACTGACTCATGTAGAAAACATTATGTATGATCTTTTGAAATAATTGGTTATAAACCTTATAATATTGTTTAATTTTAGAGTTGGCAAAAGACAAATATTAAAGCCCAGAAGGACACTCCACTGACAGACAAACCAGTGCTGTTAGTAGAGGATATTGCAGTTAAAATCAGAGCTCTTGACAGAGAAGTCAAATATTTGATGAACAAAGCAAAAACGTTTGTGCCCAAGAAGCCTGTTAAGCCAAAAAATGAAACGGAGACACCTGGCAATGAGACTAAAATTGAAACGCCAAATAATGAGACGAAATCTGAAGAGGAGGGACCTGCTGAAGGTCAAGGTTGGTATTTATGATAATTGAGTCAACAGAAAAATGGCACATTTGCTTGTTGTGCAAAGAAAATAAATTTGAAGTCATTTAAGATGCTTGAAACAAAACATGTTTGAAGCATTTTGCTGAATAAATTGCGAGAAGATTATTCCCTTGCAATAACAATTATAATAATTAAAAAACATTAATCTTGTTCAGCTTATTTGGACATTGGGTTTGTGTCACAAGCTCTCAAAATGAATAATACATAAGAATCAGCAGATAGAATTAAAACTGTTAGTGACAAAGATATGATTAGTCAAAAATAGATCAAATTTAAATTTGTGAGTACATGTAGAAATTCAAAGAGCTTTACCTAAGTTCAGTTAAATGAAAAATGTCATTTTGTAGACAATTAAAAATAATGTTTTAATTGGTTGATATTTAGCAGACAGCACTACTCCAGGCACAGAAGAGCCAGTGGAACAGCCGCCGCCTCCTACAGAAGAGGAAAATAAAAATAATGGTAATCTCCCCTTTTTTTACTTAAAACCCCCTCTTCCCCTCTCTCACACACTTTAACTATAACATTAAATTTTATTTTCTTATTTGTGTATTTTCTTTACAAATTTTATTGCCTGTTTTTCAGAAGAAAAATCAGAGCTACCAGAATCAGAAGAAACAGATAAAACTGGAAAGGAAGACAAATCATCAGAATCTAAAGAAACAGACTCTAAAAAAGATGATGAACATATTGAACTTTAACATTAGGTTAGTTACTAGGCATTTAAGTTATTTTATTAAAGAAAAAAAGGGCACAAGAAAACCGAGCGGAAGTTTAGCAAAAATGTTGTTAACAGAGCAAAAATTGTAGATGTGGATATGTGAAGAATTCCTGAATATAGAAATCATAAAAATTTAGCTACAAAGTCACCAGCCAAAGAAAAAAAAAAATCAAAACCAGGGTTTCAAATACTCATTTCATTAAAAATTCTACTCTACTGCCAATAAATGTGGCCTTGGTTATTTCCATGGGATAAAAAATGTGTTACTGGCTGTATAAGTTGGGTATTTTGTCAGTATTTAAATACATTTTGTACATGACCGTGTCTCAGTCAGTGGTCTTCTGTGGTTATCATTTGGGACGTAGAACAAACAGGAGAGCAGATTTGTGGAACTCGGGACGAAACGCAATTGGTTGGATGAATGCCCATTGTCCAGAGAACTTCCCAATATGACCTTGATACAAAGATGGTGACTCAAGATGGATATGCTTGAGTTTATGATTGAACAGGTGGTGATGTAAAGTCACTTGATATTGTTACTAACAGTTATTCACGTCTATGTGACAGAAATATATGAAATTTAAAAAAAAAAGCACTGGTAAAATTCCTGGCCCAATGGTCGCAATCTCGTCTCAAAGAGAGTTATTACGGGCCAACTTTATTAATTTAAATGTTATGTATGATCTCTTTACACATTTAATGTGATATGGTGTTCTTTATGAATGTTCAGGTACTCGGAGATGTGAAAGAAATTGATATAATTTTTGTAAAGACAAAAGACATTAAAATATTACATTAAGCATGTGTTATTTATTTATTAATATTTCTAACTTGTAGATTTGCTCTTCAGTAAAATATCAATTTTATTTCATATGGGTATAAACAGATGTACAAAAACAAATGTGATATGAAAATTACTATATCTTCCCTTGTGCACAACCAAACGAAGCCAGAGGGTGACATCTGTCAACTGGTCAACATGCGTCCTTGGGAGTATACAGGATACATGAATACTGCCACAAACTTATTCTATGTCCTCTACTTTGTTGTCCCATCTTTGATGTCAGACACAATGCTGTCAGTAGAGACTTCCATTGCTGTGTCTTCTTACCAACATTACGCCATGCCCATCTTGCTTTCATACTTTTACTTCTTCAGGTTTGCTCCATTTCTTGGGTACGTATGAAATAAAATATGTATCTACCCCCCCCCCCTCCTCCTCACCTCTTTCCCAACACGGACACCTATTCAAAGTCATTTTCTAATTTGAACTTAAACCTTTGATTTTTCCCACATTTCAGCTTTTTCCTTTAGCTGTGCTCCAAAATCTTGATAAATAGTTTTCGTTTTCTAATTTTTGATTCTAGTTGTTTTAGCAGGACTTTTTTTTTTACCCAAAATGATTAAAATAATCATAAACAATCTTCCAAAGGTTTTACATAGAACCTGCTCCTATACATTAACCTAGCCCACTGAGACAGCATTTCAATAATGAATGTTGCTGTGCGGCATCTTTCCCTCATGGTTGTCATTTGAACGCTACAATAACAAGTTCTTTAATCCTGCTGTCATAACAATGTCAGTCTTCCAACCGTTGACCAGTGATTGTAGAATTCCAGTCAGCATTTGTCATCCCCAGTCACTGCTTCACACTTCTCCCTCATTTCATTTAAGATTTCTGATGTAAAAAAAAGAAAAAAAAAAAAAAAAATAAATATATATATATATATATGTATTTATATACTATTTTAATTTTATCACATATTTATAAGTTTCAATTTTGACTACAAGTTATAATAAACATAATTTAAACAAACTTATTCAATCCCCCATGCACTACAAATATAACAATAAACCAAAGATGTTATATTACACAATTTTTTTCCGCAACTTCACCTGTATGATTTTCACTTAGTAATCATTACATTCCTTTTCTTTTCTCAAAGCCTAAGTGGCAAATGTCCTGTATATCACTCGGCATTAACTTTAATTAAAGAAGAAAACTCACTTTTACAGCTGGCCAATTCTTTCTCTCTGTCTGAGCAGAAAAATATGTTGCTGTTTGGTTGCTGCCTGTAAACTCTCTGAAAATTGAAAGTAATTATTTTTACAATGTCCCTTAACCTCTGAAAATAAAAATGAATTACACAAAAGACTAGGGTGTGCACAATCAAAAATTCCAATCATTTAGGTACCTGTTGTTCCAAAAGGTAATGGGTTATTTAATGAAAGGGCATCTTACCAAAAACTGGAAGCCTTAATTTGTTGTTTAAAAAAATCCGCTCTTGTTTTTTACTCCTCTGCTTACATTAGGTACATGTACTGTAGTTTATAAACTTCACATGAATATGGCAAAGGAAAATAGCTTACAGCTCCTGGTTTCAATGACTTCAGCTCAACTTGCAAGACTTCCATTTCATGCTTTTTGACGTCCATCTGAAAGAGATACTACAGTACATGTAATAGGAGAGGCTGGTATATTAATTGTAGAAAACAACGCTACAAGACAGGGATACTGTACGTGTAGATATCTACCGGTATGTCAGTACAGTACTTGTATAGTTTAATACATGTATAGTTTAAGCATGACCTTCCTCAATACTTGCCTCTTGTATCATTTCCTTTCTACCTGCTTCATCGTGTACAGAATATGTGGTACTCATTGTCTCTCTCCTACCAGTCGCCTCCTCTGAAGGCTGCCATCTTAAACAGTAGCAATGCCAAAACGAGGCCAAATGTAAGTAGGTCAAATGGGGAATCTCCGCGTGTTAAAAATAGACACGGGAGGCATAACGACTTTTTAAAGTGTGTCAGGAGTGTTGGGGGTGGGGGGTGGGGTGGGGGTGGGTGGGGGGGGGGGGGTAAAATAATTAACCCGTTTGTTCGACTGCTTTTTAAGCGATGAGCAAATATGTGTTGATTTAGGATGAGTCACAATTTAAAGGGCACATATAGAGAGAAAAAGACAGGATGCACATCGATGTCATGGATATTCGCTCTAGATTGTTTAAAAAATGGATCCTAGGGACCATTCCCACATATATTGGATCGATCTATCTTCCTGGGGAGTCTCACTAGATTGCTGTCAACTTGACCGGCTTAAATATCTGTCACGCCTAGTAGGCCCCTAAAGCTAACTGTTAGAGGGTAGGCTTTGGCCCTAATTAGGCCCTATCTTTACCTAGCTGATTCGGTAGGTGCGACAGACACATAAGCCCGTTAGTTGACAGCAATTTGTGAGACTCCTCAGGGAGTTAGATCCAACCAGATGGATCGATCTCAGCATGGGAACCCAGTCCTAAATTACTTATAGCAATATTTGTTTTTACATCAAAAATCTGCAAGAATGAGTATACCGGTACGGCGATACAACACATCTAGTAGCTGATGATATATTCTTTAGGCCTTATTAACGCGCCAGTAATAATAATAATAATAATAATAATAATAATAATAATAATAATAATAATAATGTAATAGTGTTAAATGCCTTAAGATTTTCTATTAAAGTGATAAAATTAGAAAAGCACTCACAGAGCGCAGACCTCCACCAAGGTATTTCAAATATGGCTATAACTAGAACTGTGAATTAATTCACAGACCATCACCAGAATCTAATCAATTTTAATGTAGACAATTTCTGACCTATCCTCTAAATTTTATCGGAGTCCGATCATAACTTTATTATAACAACAACAAAAATCCACTTTTTTCTCCATTTTAGGGATAGAAAATATTTAAAGGCAACATAACCAACATTTTAAAACACAAAAATAATTTTAATTTGTTCAAATATCGAAAGTAGAAAACAAAAGGATATCAAGACAACACAATGCAAAGTTATTAGAGAAGACATTCGGTTGTAACAGTCATATAATATGAAAGAGGTAACTCCGAATACGTCAAATTTTGCGATTTTTCGCGTGGAGACATGTAGGCCTACTGTGCCAACGCCATCCTATATATAGTTCATAGCTAATAGGCGTAAACCGTTACTATATATACAGAGTCCGCCAAGCTTAAGCTCAGGTGCAGTCGGGGATACTGGTTGACGGCTTCCAGTCCCCCTGCGGAGAACAGACAAAAAACTGCCCCACTACGGGCGAGGTATATCCACTGTTGCAATGAAAATAACAATATTTTCTGAATCCCCAGTATGAACATTCTATTTTGCCGTTAGCTGGGGACCGCAGCTCAGGGCAACTTGCGTGGTTTCCTGAAAAAAAAAAAAAGATATTATTTCCTGTGGTACAAGTTTGCGACATCAAAATGCATTTCTCTGTCGTTGCAGAGTCCACAAAGAATAGTTTGAGAATTTCTTCGCTTACTTTAATTGATGGTAATTTTCTCAAAAGGTTTTGAAAAGGGGTGCTTTAGCGATTAATGGAACATTTCTGAGATTTTCATGAAATTGCTTCTTAGGCTATGTTAAAGCTCTAACACGCACATGTGCATCATTATAACGACTGCTGGCGTTTATAGAAAGAAAAATAACCCAAGGCAGTATACTGTATTTTTGAATTAGGACACAATAATAAATTCGAGTAATTAGATCTAGTGAAAAAGTCACAAAGAAAACTTGTAACTTACTGTGTTTGACTTTCACCCTAAATGAACAGGTGTTCGTGTTTCCACTGCCGTCTGTTACGGTAAATCTCGCCCAGTAAACTCCAACAGGAAACAGTTGACCATCAGGTATATTGTCAACTATACTGAAGTGTCCAGAGTTGTCGGATATACCCAGGTCGTTCCAGGTCACCTGAATTTTGCACAATGAATGTAAGTACCATGAATTTGAGAATCCTCTGCAAACTGCCACTCTGTGGCGCCACCTACAGTTTAGTCCTTTTCTTATGGAGAATTCGAAACTGGAGTAGTTTTACAAAAGAACGTCAAAACGCAAATGTCGGTCTAAACTTCGAGATAAAGCAAGAAAAAAAATCAATGGCGAACCAAGATGGTTCTGTTATGATTCAAATAAATGAAATAATTCACTTTTTTCTCTAAACAGATATTATTCGATAAAGTTTTTGATCAAAATTAATTTTAATGGCTCTTGCAGTGTTTTCCTAAATTGAAGAAAACCAACATTTTTGGTCTCAACGTACAATCAACTTTCGGTGTTTTAAGTTTAAAAATTCACCTAAATCTTTATTTTCACAATAAACAAATGGAAATGAATGATGCCAACCATCTCATATAAAGTAATAACAAGGTCAGTGAACTATATGTATTTGTAGAAGAGATTGTAATTCAACAATGAAATATCGTTTTAGCCGTAGCCATAGCAACAATTATTTATGAGAAGGGACAATGCTGGTTTGGGACCAAGCTGTATTGCTGAGCCAAAAATGTAGGAAATCGTTTTTTGAGTTGACATCACTATATTTGATTCTTTTAGACACTACTTTAAAAAGAACCGTGACAAACTTACCAACACTTTCCTGCCTTGTTCCACCTGCTTAGTTATCGGCCCAGGACAGTTTCTTATGGTGGGTTTTTCTTTATCTGGCAAATAGAAATGCTTGATATACTCTATCCATATCTTGTTATATGGATCATAGATTTTGCAAGGTTTGATTCTTCAGTGCATTTACTGTGGGACAAAAAGATCCATCCTTTAACGAGGGATCTTTATCTGACCAAAACAGACACCAAAGCTGCCTGTCACGTAGAGAACATAACAATAAATGCACAATTTTAACTATTAGCCTATATGACTTTAATCTTTGAAGATCCCCGACAACGTATTTACGATGCTGTAAACGGAACGTGAATTTAGTCTTGTTAATTTCTTCTTTTTAGTGAAATTAAAGAATTAAACTCCATCGCCCCCCCCCCCAAGAAAGATTGAAAGAAATTAAAGGAAAAAAGGAAGGTAAAAAAAAAAAAAAAATAGGCTTTAAGGCATATCAAAACGTAAGACAGCAAAAACGAATTTTCCGGGAATTTTCAGTGATTTTCCCGTTATTGAAAAAAATCAATGAAAAAATTCAATCTATAGACCCCTGTCCCTGTTCTAAATCTCCACTTTTACTGTCCATTACGAGAATGACTTAACATTTAAAAACTTATAACTGTAAAACGATTTTATAGGTCGTAATTCTGTGAACGGTTTTGGTGATAAATGGAAATGTGAGGAATTGAATTTTCCAGAAAATACAAACTTCTGTCATATAAGTCTGTCAGTTTTTTCGTGCATTTAACCGCACCTTGTATAACCACAGTGACATTACACTGAGCTGTGTTGCCACTGTCGTCTGTCACAATGAAAGTCACAACATGGACGCCGATCTCAAATGTCCGCGGACCCGGCCGTGTGCCGCTGATGAGGCGTGCGTTAACGTTATCCGCGTACGCCACATTGTTACTAAGGTCCACTACCGCTTCTTTTTCTCCCGCTGAGGCTCGGGCGGTTATTTCGCTTGGACACTGACTGAAATAGGGGGGCTCTGTATCTGAAACATGAAAAGAAGACCGCTCCTGTGCTGACGATAAGAAATATGATGCTGACAGGCAATCTTGGAAGTCACATATCACAGCGGTTTACCTCCAATATTTCGATGTCTAACAGAACATCTTCATCAGGAAATATTGAAGAAATATTATTTTATTCTTATAACAGTTTTTTGTTTTTATAAGCCTCCTTGGGTAATTCGGAGAGCATTTTGTAGTATCTTTAAACTAGTCACGTTTTTAGCTCGTGATAGCTGCAAGCTGTAAACATGGTATTTACCTTTGCACGTTTTTCCATCTGGTTGAAGTGTGAATCCCGTTGCTAGGCAACCACATTCAACTCCACCAATAGTGTTAAAGCAGTCTTGGTCACAGCCACCATTGTAAACAAGGCATTCGTTTTTATCTACAAGAATATTGCTTTTTTTTGTAACGGATTATGAAAAAGGGTTTGGTATAGATTTACTATTTTTTTCATAAAGTAATAGACGTAATATTGGAAACTTAGAACGGAGTGAAGAACTGGTGCAAATATCTAATGATAGGCCTACAAGTAATTATTTATGAAATTGAGACAAAATTTAATTTTTTTTTATAAAATAATAAACTTGAAAATGAAAGGTATTGTAAACCAATTGATCGTAACACATATATCTTCTTTGCTTATGGCACATGCATTCTATGGCAAATGATGCCTACCTCTACATGATATCGTTCCTTGCTCCCATATGCCATGTTCATTGCATTCAAGAACGGGGTCATCTGTAGATTCAAACCCGGGAAGGCACTCCTGGTCGCAGATGGCGCCTGGCGTAAATGGCGGGTTTTCTTTGCACGTGACATTGCCATTCTGAGGCTTAGGTGGTGATGGGCAGTGAATGGTGATATTATCTGACGGAGTAAAATTGAAGAAAAAAAGTCGATAGTAGCAATGGAGAAATATTTTATTCAAGTTTAAAATATAATTTCTAAATAACCTAAAATGGCAAAAAAGTGGTTTTCTTTGAAATGCAGCTGTGTTACTGGGTGATTTCCTTTTACAAATAAGATGCGCTGATACAATGTAAGACCTTATTCATCTCATAAGATAAAAAAAAAATACAGCTGTGTTACTGTATGATTTATTTCTACAAGATGTGCTAATTAGACTTCGTCATCTCATGCGATAAATAATTCAGATGTCTGCCACATTCAGACACAACTAAATAGAAATCAATGTAAATGTTTCTTTAGCTCTATACTCGCACCTGCACACCGGAGACCATCGTTACTCAGTACTCGTGAAGGAAAGCAGGCACACCTGTAGCCGCCTTCCTCGTTTATACACACGTCTTCACAGCCGCCATTGTTCACTCCGCATTCGTTTATATCTGAAATTATTGGACGGTAGGTCACTAAAATATATACCTAGCGTTTTATTTTCATTGAAGTCTCCCTCAGGTGGATTTATTATAAATTATCCATAATTGTTTTGCTTGTTTTGCATTTCTTTCGTTGCAAACGAGATTTAGTACCGCCATTAAAACATCTATATATATGCGTAATGTGGCATTCCACTGTTCTTTACAACCTTCAAATATTACATCCTTTAAGATGTCAATCAATTAAATTTCATGATTATGTCAGCTAGTTTCCTCTTAATCATAAAACCAGTATCTCTACTGCGAGAATTTCTAAAAAAAAACAAAAAAAAAAAAAAAAAAAAAAAAACAAAAAAAAAAAAAAAAAAAAAACTTAGAACTAAAAAAACAGGATAAGAGGTTAAGAAATGGCAACATTTGTCAGTACCTGTACAGTTTCGCCCGTTCTGGTCCAGGACGTAACCCTCCATACACAAACACGTGGGGTCATATCGCCGGTCAAGTTGACTACAGTACTGCTCACACCCAAACTTGGCGCAGTCTAATATACATTAAATATCAACTATGATACTGTCTTATTTTTTATCATTTCGATCTCTACTCAAAATATTCAGTGCTGAGAGTAGTGATTATTATTTTGTATTTTTAAATATTTAAAACTGCACCAGGACGTCAATTTCATTACACAAATGTTTGTATCAGAAGGAACACCAAAATGTTCGCATAGGCCTAGATTTTACAAAATTACTTTGCACAGTTAAGCACCGTTTCACGAGTAAGGTAAACCTTATAAATCATGTCGTGCAGTGCAATTTTTTAAAGTATAGAAGAGCAAAATGATTCTCATAATAATAAAAATCCATGATACGTCCTGAATTCGTCTAGACTTGTAATATTCAAGTACGATTTCTCATGCTTTTCAATTTTGTAAATACTTACCAAGCGCGAGGTTTGTCTGGAAGAGAATACTATATTATATTATATTATATTATATTATATTATATTATATTATATATTCTTAAAACAACAGACATTATTTACTCTTGAACTAAAAAAAAAAAATCCAGTAAAATAATGGGTCATCTAGAAAACATAAGTAACCATAGGTGGCGCTCTTTGTACCAGTTCATTGATGTTTCATTCAAGACGGGATTTACCATCTTGTAACATGGAACCTTGCAGCGTACCATTGTTGGTGACTCACCATCTGCGCCACTTATGTAGGTAACACATGGCAAAACTTAAAATCTCGGTTGTTCTTTTTGATTATAAGGTATTTGTCAAAAGATATAACTTCAAGTTATTATTTGAGCTATTCAGTGTGTTACTCTATGTAGGGGGGCAAAGCGAACACGTTCATCTACCTTAGCTTAGGAGGAAAACTCATTCCTCATTCTCAAAACAACAAAGAAAACAACATCAAATTAACTACAACATCAACAACAATAATAAACAGATAAATGACATAATCAGCAAATCGAACAAACCCAAGCAATTTCCCGCCCACGTGTCTTCGACCCTCGCCCCCACCATTTACGACCTCCGCCGCTCGCCACACTGATGTGCACCCCCCCCCCCCCCCACCCACACACACACACACACACGGTCACCCCCGGTGCTACATTACCGTGTCTCGGATCCAGTCATAGTACTTGCCCAGGTTGGTGTACACTCCCGGATAGTGAACGTTGTTGCCGCAGTAGGAAGAGCCAAAACTCACAATTCCCACCTGTCGCCAAACCTCGCGTCCATTGACTGTAAAGTTGCAGGCCAAGGGTCCGCCAGAGTCTCCCTGGAAACAGCACATAATGCAGACAGACAGACAGACGAATGTGAAAACATAGCGTCCTTGTTGGTGGTACAGTAACAACAACACGTTCTTGAAGGGATAACAACTGTTCGTTTCGGCCTAAAAATGGATGTTTTGTGGGCTAAACGACGATTTCTCCACACTTATCAATGGTTAACAAATCAACCATGACATTCAAAAATAGTCTATTAAAAAAAAAAGAAATTAAATTTATGTAATAATCTCTTAAGAGATTATTACGGAGGTAAAACCATCTGTAAAGGCCCACATGGTCTGATTGCAAGCACTGCAGAATAAATGTGCTGTTTTGGTAGTAAAATGGAATTTATTGTTTCTGTTATTTGTTTACAATGTATTTATTGTGAAATATGAATCTCATGCGTACAGTTGTTATCCTTTTAAATACATACAAGTCACTGAGCAGAAAGACACTTTTCCACCACATTATCAGGAAAAGGTCCATTTTTTAAAAGCTGCATTTAGATAAACGCACACAATAAAGCATCCGAGTGACAATAAAGTTGGATATAAGGTCACGTGACTTACCCCACACGTGTCCTTGTTTTTAGCTGTGGCACATATCATGTCATCCGTTATCGGGAAACTATACCAGGAACTGGTTCTGCAGGCAGGGGTGGACATATAGTCCAGGTCCACTTCCTGTAGCTTCCTGCTGGACTGAAAAATAGCTGCAAAAATAGAGATAGTTTCGAAATAATTATAAGGTTTTTTATTACGTTATGCCATGACCACTAAATACTCATCTAAGAACTATTTTGAATGCAGATGCTTATTCCATTTCAACTTATTTCAAGTTATCAAGAGCTGTAGACCTAATGAAAATTCTAAATGAAATATATACTTTTTTATAGTTATACACCATATGATTTTACGATATCATATTGAGAGAGAGAGAGAGAGAGAGAGTTACCCGGGTCCCCTATTGTATCCCCCCATCCAGCGACTTTACACTTGGTCCTGTCATCCACGATCTCCGTGTCAGCCGGCAGACATATGGGGCCTATGTCCTGACTGTAGGTGACGGGGGACGACAGCCGAAGTAAAGCCAGATCATTCCGCAAGTAGTCTGTGAAACGGTCTCTGCTGAATTGTGGATGGTCTATGATCTCGGCCACTGTTCTGTTCGCGTATCCAGGGTTTAGAAGCTTATTCTGTACGTCATGGACGGCAAAATGGACAGTGAACTCAGTTGGGAGCCTCTTTCGATATGGGCAATGTCGCAACCCGCTATGTCATGAAACAAAGGAAAGGTACAAGTATTAATCAAAATCATATTCTGACACACTGGCCCCCCCCCCCCCACACACACACACATGCACGCACGCACGCACGTACGCACACACGCAACACATATAAAGCACTATATAAGCCCATTTGTAAATTTAAACTCGTGACAAACCAGATATGAACAAACATGACATGCGTCTTGCTCTCCTACTAGTACAACATGGGAGCAAGCAGGATGGGCTTGAAGCTCAATGATTTTGTACTTACTTTGCCTGATAAAAATGTCCTTCGACTGGCTATTTGATGTATGTCTAATTGAAACGTAAATTCATGTTTATCGAATGTCTGTCGATAAACACATCCCTTTAAGCTTTAGGTCTAAAGAAATATTAATTACAAAAACGGCTCTTACCTTAATTTAATCTTCTTAATGTCTTATGTTTTATTCACAAATGGCTAATTCAATAATAATAATAATAATAATAATAATTATTATTATTATTATTATTATCCCCCAATGATGTTACCTGGTATATACACAGTGTGCTGCCGTGAGCACCCACTGCGGTGATATTAGACTTCCCCCGCAGAAACCACTACAGAATAATCCGTCAATTATCTCAATGTAAGTCATCCAAGGCCATATAAACGGCTCTGTTTCGATACCGCCAATGATCCTTGAGGTAGTCTGTGGAATAAGACGCCTTGTCCTTGGAAGGTTTGGAAAGCCACAGGAAGCTAGATGATTAAATTCAAATTATATGATGCTATAATAACTACAAATTCTAAAAATGATAAAAATAACTCTGGTGTGACAAATGGCAAAATGATAGCAAGTGTTCGTGTGGTATTCATATTTCATAATAAGTACATTGTAAACAACTGATAGGAATATAATAAATTCTCTTTACCACGAAAACAGAGGTTACCCTATTCTGGAATCTGTACAATAGGTACAGCTAGGTTAGTTGATCGCGGCTATTTGCGTTATAAACGGACATTAATTGCCAGGGAGGAACAGGAAGCAGCCTTGGAGCTGCTCGTTAATACATTTGAACGTCCATTTTTATATTTTACTGCTTTTTCAGTGTAAATATTTTTACCCGTGTTTTTCTTCCTGCTCTCCCCCATTACTGCTCCACCACTGTCCCTGCCCTTCCTTCTGCCCAGACTTCTGCCCCTTACTGCCCCCCTCCACTGCCTCCAGACCTCTGCCCCTTACTGCCCCAATCCACTGCCTCCATTATTCTGCACCTTACTTACCACCCTCACCTAATTGCTGCTGCCAGAAGTCTCCAAATGTCAAAAGTAGAATATTTTACGATATAGAACCAGGCTACGCATTGCAAATGCATACGCACGGTATTGTAGAAAAAAAAACGCAGATTATTTTTACCATCTTGTTTTTAACGCAAGCACGCAGATCACTTTTTTTACTACTCAGTTACTCAAGTTTTAGTTTCTACATGTAGGTCATTGGAAACAGCTAGGGGTTTCAGTACTTAGTAGCCCTGTACTCTAACTACGTAGGAGAAATGCTCTTATCATTTACTAGTGCAGACCATAAGCAGAGAGGAGGAATATCCATTGCAACAAAATCCCATGAAGTGTATCATAGAACGTTATTTACCAACAATAGAGACATTAGTATTGACAGTAGGCTACTCATGTGGCCAATTAAAAATGCAATTGTACTATAGACACGCAATATCAGTTTGACCGTTGCATTTTTTGTTGTAAGCTTTAACTCAGTCGATTGTTCACAGCGGAACCCCACTGTTTTTGAATAACCGCTCATGAACGATTGTGATCAATGAGAAATATTATAGCTTAAAGATGAGAATTTTTTTAATGCAGCGTACGTTAGTGGTGGCTTAATTAATTCTCGTATGTCATCGCCCATTATTCTTCCACCCTTCGTCCACTTCTATGGCCTGCCTAATATATATATATATATATACCTTCTTAGTAATTAGAACTGTTCGACGACTTTATGTTGAAACTATGGGAGCATTTAGATAGACACATCGTACTAGTTGGGAGGGTCGTGCACTTGGCTTAACTGAATGACACACCTCGTCGAGCAGCTAAGGGGGTGGTTTACCAAAATTAATTTACCCCAGCTGCTCAAGGAACCTTGCCATACAGGTACATTTAAGCTGATTCCACTGATTACACTTAGCGGGAATCCCCCATAGAGTTAAACCGACCAAACTAGTAGGACGTGCCTATCTGAATGGGTCTACAATTTCTAAGAATTACCTGGGTTGATGATATCTCTCTTCGTGATTGCACGTTGTTCTACGTTATGTAGTTCCGATACGAAAAGCGCCAAAATGAAGGCTAGCGCGTCTCTCGTAACCACCATGTTAAAAGGCAATAATGTTCTGAAACATCCTACACTTTTTAGCCGACTTTATGAGCACGATTCGTCTGTATCCGCGTTCTACTTTGTGGCTGATGGGAATGACCCCGTACCCGGATGTTATATACGATTGCAAGCACAACTTGTGTTGATTTAGTCACGCTTGCGTCCTGTTTTACTGGTAAATTTGTAATGGTAAAATCCCGGTTGATGATTGCATTAATATATTCCTCTTCAGGACACGATTTTCACCTCGTCCATAGCCGGATTTAAATGACCCCCTAGACTGTTGCACTGATGATACAGATTATGAAGTTGACTGTTGCACTTGTGTCACTGCGCATCAATACCCTGTCATTATATTTTGAACAAGAGATTTAAATCTTAAAAAAATAAAAATAGTCTTCAAAAAAAAAAAAAAAATATAGCATTATGTTAATATTTAATGGTTGAACAATGGTTGAACAATGGTTGCATAACAAAGAGCTTCATTGCATTAGATGTGCCGGTTTTCATGCAAAGACACATCGGTGTCACACAGCACGAGGTCAATGAGGTCATCTGGTTTGCTGTGTCCCGTCCTCCCCGGTCAAGTGTCGTCTTGCAGCTTGAACTATCTTCTGCATAACTACCGAACATACCGCACGCTGCACGTAAAATTTTTCTTGTAGATAGATATTTGAATAGAATGAGGAATGAATACATAATTTAATACCAGCTTTTTCTTTTTCATTGATTTTTATTGTATTAGATCATCATTATAAGAGGGAATCCTCTAACCAGGTACGAGTCGAGCAATAAATGAGTCGAAAGTAGAGAAAAAAAATTGTGGAAAATTTGGTTTGGAAATCCCGGTTATGATACCTTTAAGGATTGGAGAGGCCAAGAACACATAAGTCTTTTTTTATAATGCAACATGTAAACGCGATCGTCTGCTGGAAATCAGTCTGTGACAGGACTCACCTCTTGCGGTGAAATTTCGGCAGAGATTGATCAAGACAAGACTACCTTGAACGTGTGGAGCAGACGAAGTTTTATCCCTTAGCGGCCATTTTTTAAATTCATTGCCTATTTTTCATTTCAATAATTTATCATTTCCTTCACAGATAAGCGTGTCTTTCCATTTAAATATGATCTGAGGTAAAACGGCTGTAAGAATGGTGCCTTTCAACACTGTTTTCTTGTTCATCACCAGGTATCCCTATTTTGGTAGTCGTGTCTATTAGCACGTACGGACAGTATTTGGAGCACGATAATAACAATATTTCAATAACAATAAGAGAAATTGAAGAATACACCAAGTTCACGCATGCTTATAATTAATCTTCATTAAGGAATTTTATGAAATAATTGTGGACACATTCCTCGAAGCTAGTACCTCAGAAGGAAAGAATGGATATGTTTATTGTAATTCAATGCAACATCTGCATTGGAACATGTTTTTTATTGAGACAAATAAATAAATAAATAAATAAATAAATAAATTAATTAATTAATTTAGGATAACCGAAGCGAACAATCAAAGACAGTTTCTGTAAATAATTTTGTTTTGCATCCTACGGACATCATGTTTAAAAGTGAATAACCTTTTTATCTTTTTTTAATTCGTCTACCGTTAATTATATATTCTGCAATATTTTTATCACTATAAAGTCTCATCTACACGACATGAAGCCCCCTCAACGTTACTTGGTTGAAAATGAAGAAATGCAATAGAACTTTGTAATATAAATGGGATATCATTATGTGTACCTTGTTATACCGAGCAATCTTGAATTTGTTGATTTACAAAAGGCGCCTGTCTGACTCTCAAATTAATGGCCGTCACTTTATAACGACGATATTGTTGTTTTGCGTGCTTTGCTTCAATTTTTATGTTTGATGGTTTACATATAATTATATTCTGAGAGTATTATTTGTCTTGAAGGCTTGTGATACAAGAGAGTAGCAGTGAGGAGAACCGACGTGAATTACAATGAAATTGTAGCACTCCCTAAAACAAACGAATCCCGGCTTTCTTTCAGTCCCAGAGAACTGCATTGTTAATTATTTGGCTAATGCACGATGAATCGGTATGTGTAATTCCAGTTAGCTGTCGCCAGAGTATGCTCCGTCTATTCACCATTTATTTATTTATTTATTTATTTATTTATTTATTTATTTATTTATTTATTTATTTATTTATTTTGTTTGTTTATTTGTTTGTTTATTTGCTTATTTATAGTTGTTTTATTACTTATGTCATGTTTTCAATATTTTGATTTCATTAGTTCAAGGAGGTAGGAAATGTGCATCGAGACATAGCTACATGTAGTTTGAAACTTAATTGTTCCTGTTTCTCTCATTAACTGTATAACTTTGAAATAGGGTATGCTCTGTTTAGTTTTACTTTTGAATTAAGCAAGCCGAAGGGAAAAAAATCAAAGAAGTCGACGTTATTTGTGTTATCTAATAAACTTGTTGGATCTAACAAACTACAACATAAAATTACATGTACATGGCTAAATAAAACAACAACAAAGAATGAAGGAAGCATTTTTTATTGAGAAAGATCGCAGATCCTTCACACAAACAGATACAATATAAATCTATGTCAAAAATGTATTTCAATACATTGTTTTATTTATTTACTTTAATTTTGTTTTACATGGAGAGCATTTAATGCTTTTAGCGCTTTGCCTCCATTTCTTTAACATTTTTTAAAAATACATTGATCGGATTATAAAAATCCCGTCTAAAGAAAGCATTTTCCTCCCTCTGTTTTGTTTTCTGATGGCACTTCCTTGACCTTGACCTTGACCTGGCAGTTACTTGTCGGGTACACACGTGGGTTGTGGGCCGGGGGGACCAGGAGGCCTGCACCTACAGCCTGGAGGGACGTTCCTTAGACAGCCAACTTGGGGGGCAATTAAACGAGGATAGCAGTGGAAGCCATCAGGACAGCTCTAGATGGTGAATATAAAATACTTTTAAAATTGGTTTCAATTAAGTGCTTGAATTGCCAGACGTAATATGAACAATTGTTTAAAAAAATTAGTACATTTCCTTCTATGTTCTTACTAAACTGATGAACTTACTTAACAGAATTTTGTAATATTGTTTTAACAATAAAACAACTTACCCAAAAAGGTCTTATGGGTCGTAATTTTGTAAACGTTTTTGGATATTCCGTGCCAGTTAACAGAAAAAAATTGAAATTTCCAGAAAAAAAAATTCAATTTAATTCTACTGCTCTAGCGAATTCAGGGACACTTCAGGGACGTAACCAGACCTTTTAAANGAAGCCAAAATTGTAAGTGCAGGGGCGTAACCAGGCATACGCACAGTGCATCCGTGCGTATGCCTGGTTACGCCCCTGCACTTACAATTTTGGCTTCACAAGGCAGTGGTGACCCGGGTGGTGTTATTTGACAGTAGCCCCCACCAGGTGGCGCAGGTCTTCCTCCACCTGCTGGTCCACAAAACACTGCGCCCTGGAATATATGAATGCTTACTATAAACAGCACTATTGAAAATATGTTTTCTTTGGATGTGGCATACTAAAACGGATATCTCAACTACAGCGAGGCATTTCTATTTAATTGCACACTATCTGTACGATGTATGATAACTATGATATTCTACAAGTTTTTAAAAGCTTAACGAATTAAGTTGCTTACTCTTCATTAGCTATAGGCGGTTGGTTGCGACAACAAAGTCATTATCAATATCAGACCCCGTTTTCTACTCACCAGCAATAGCGCAATAGTTACAACTAACAGCACCTTGCTTCCCATTGTAATAACTGTATTGAGCAGATTCTTGTTTACAAACTGGATAGGGAAATGAACTAATGCGCCAGCTTATATAGCCGACTTAACCCGGATCCGAAGCAAGCGGAAACACAGACATATTCGTATGACGCGCTGTAAATCAAATCGTCGCACCCTGAACCGCAGAGTTCCTGTACCAGGGACTATTTACTACGTATACTACGTTTGAAAAATGTCCCAAAATCAAAACTATATGTCTAAATATCCTCCACAGTTACTTAGCATTTCCAATGCAGAGAGTTTTAAATGATAAAATGCCTCAAACAAAGTATCCGATTAAACGTATACTAGAGGCGTTGAAAAATATACCCAAAAATATCCGATGTCCATATTTCCTTTAGAGTTATCAGAAAAACTGCGTCCCATTGTCCTCAGTGTTTGGTCAGAGGGCTAGAAGTTAAAGGGATAATAACTCTTCGTATGACATCTATATTTCACAATAAAAACATTGTGAACAACTCGTAGGAATATAATATATTCTGTTGTACAAGAAAAATGGCAGTTATAGCTATTATTCTGAAATCTGAGCCTGTCTTTAGACCACGTGACCTCCACGGATGGCTATACTCTGTTATAATCTCTTAAGAGATTTTAACAAAAAAAAAAAAAAAATTTAGAAAAATAACAGGAACTAACTTTGAAAGTAAAAATGGATTCATTGACCATTGCTAAATATGGGAAAATTGTTGTTTATTCCAGGAAAATTCATTTTTTGGCCAAAACGAAGAGTTATTATCCCCTTAATCATTTAATCAAAAATGTACAAAATTCTCTCCAGCCATTTTGAGTCTCAGTGCGAGATTTTGCATTGCATTATTTTGATGCAAAGTGAGGTTAACCTGGGGCTGCATTTTAGCTAGTGAAGTTTTAAATGACACAAGTCAAATATATTCTTATTACCGGTACATATAACTTTGCATTTTGATGAAACAATTTGTTCACTTTGCCTTAAATCATGTTATTATTTATCATCTGCGTTCTGAGGACAATTGTGTCTTGTACTATATTTATCCCGGCACGCAAAGCGCGCAACCATAGCGTGTGATTGGGAAGGTTTGTTGTTGTTGTTGTCTGTAGAGACATTATGAGATTTACTTGTATTTGTTGATGGATATGGCCCTGTAATCAAAACATTGAGAATAAGTACAGCTGTACCTCACTAAAGTGGTGATAAGTTATTTTGTTTTTGCCAACATTAAATCAAGGACAAATGGTTATGTCCTTAGATACATTGAAGATTCCTGTGCTTTTAAATAATAATAATAACAATTATAATAATAATCACAAATTAAATAATTAAAGGCACACGCTTTGTTCCTTTAAAATACATCGTACTAATATAATTTAAACTTGTAAAGCAATAGTTTTTATAATTTATAATGCATGTTATCTGATAGAGAGAACTAAAGACAACAGGGTCATGTTTTTATTCAAATTTATTCACCACATTCAACTATATTAAATTAAAAATAAAGCATTATATCGGTCAAACAATGCTTCAATTCTAGTTGTTTTCTGTCTATTTTCATACAGGGAAACCATATGTTTGAAAATAATTATTATAGTACAATAGTTATTAATTGCCTTTATCCTGTTAATCTCTTTATTTATAGTTACTGCCAATGTTTCCATATTATCAAAATTATTTACATTGAACAAAGAAATGGCCACGGTAGGCTATATATCAGCTTGCACTGAAGGACAACATTTCACGTATATCCAACATATTGTAAAATCTTACTTGATGAAATACTTTCCTGTGGGAAAACATAACATTTTTTATTATCCCTGAACTGCTCTGTTTTGATCCTGTCATACTACGTATGGTATATTTCATCAAGGAATAAAATGCCTTCTGTAACCTTTATTTGTCACTTTAATTTGCATTTCTCTGAAGATATATTCACACCGTGTATTGTTTTGACCAAAAATCCTTAATTAACGGATTTTATTACAATATATTAAAACTTCAACATATATGAGAAAATGATGTCCCACCACCTGTGATATTTCTTCTTTATGTTCATACATGTAGTCTCTTTCTCTTGAACTACATCGCCCAGCTACATTATTATAAAGTGTAACTTCACCATTTGCTCTGGAACAATATTGTCAAACATTATATACACTTGGATTAGATGCCCCACCACCTGCGATATTTCTTCCTATGTAAAAACAAGTAGTGTTTTTTTCTAGATCTTGAAATACATCGCTTACATAATTGATTTCATTCTTTTCCGTAAAATGTGATGCACCTTTTCTTTAAGATATCCCGCACGAAAACGCACTAGATACTCCAGCGCAGTAGACTACTGCAATCATACTGCAAATATGCCTTAAATCTGCTTCGATTTGGGAACTAGTTAGCATATTTGAAACATGCTGCTATCATGCTGCTAATCTACTGCATTAATGCTCCTCTCTGTAGAAACCTATGTACTTTTTTCGTTAATGCTTCTTTGCTACTTTGATACTAATGCATTTTTGTGCGGGATGGCTATGACACATATCTATAAAATATATCCTGCTATATTATATGAACCATAAGTATGGCACATTAGATACATATAGCTATAAGCCTATCAAAGAAAATGTGTTCCCTCAGTGTATTGAACTATTTACAATTGTAATAAGTATTTTTAAACACCGTATACACTGAAATAAATATTGTTAAACACTGTATAAGTAATAATTCATTGTGATGTATTACTATTTATTTGTTTATCTATTTGTAGTATAGAGGGCTAACAAATGTAACTGTCACATTTAATGCTCGAATAAATTTTTATTATATAAAAACTATTAATAGTATAATAATATATTTATTTCAGGTGTAAAATCCATAAAATGTTCAATAGACTGTACAACATAAAATACAAAGAAGTTTATAGATAAAAATGGTTAAGATATATTTTATATAAATAAGAACTAAACTGAATTGTAATAAACCGTAATTAAAAGTAAACCATTCAAGGTTTCTTTAAAATAGTAAAATTTAAAATTCATGAATAAAATGTCTTAAAAATATGAGTTTTTAATTCCTTTTTAAAAGATTCATGTGATTCTATTTGTCGAATAAAAATTGGCAACTTATTCCATTCTACTGGTGCAGCTACACAAAATGATATGTCACCATATGATTTTAACCTTGATTACCTTGATTACTATTTGTAAAAATTGCTTCATCAGTCCAAATTCATCATTTTTTCTGGAATAATATTGTTATCTATATACACTTGAATGTTTTCCTTAAATTCTCATACATATAAATATAGGTATCTTATCTTAGTATTCATTACCAAGAAACCATTATCGAGCGACCTATTTTGCTGCAAATACCGCTTGCGCTTATTATTTTCAACCACCCATTTTGATATTCATGAACAAGGGCATTTCTTTTAATCTTATCATGGGAGTAACTCCACATTATCATCATCATCATCATCATCATCATCATATTAATAAAATTTAAATCTAAAATCCATTATGCTTTGTACGCTTAACAAATAAAATACAAGTACATAAAGGTATCAATTAGCTTCAATTACATGTCTTTTAATTGGTTTTATGAAATATCTTCACGAAATTATTAAGTCTTTTTCACATTCATTTTTACATTTGGTATACTATACAGTTTGAAATATTCATTTACAAATCAAGGGAGTCTCTTAAAACACAGTGGCGCCATCTATATTATGAAGAGGTCTGGATGCCTCCATTTCGCCTCGTATTTGACACCTGAGTCCATATATTTGCCACCTATTTGTACAAATATCTGTATTTGTACTGATTAAAGTATCTTGTATACAAAATGGCTCTCCAAAGATCTTTCGTCTGCTGACAGGACTGTATTTCAGTATCTTCAGTATCTTCTGGCCACCACAAGTGGTATAATCGGTGCCTTGTAGATTTCTGCACTATATACCCGCTAAACATTTCAATTAATATCCTCTAAAATCAAAACACACAATAATAATAATAATAATAATAATAATAATAATAATAATAACAATTAAAGTAGTGAAAATTACAACTGTAATAACATGCCTATTAAAAATAAAATTATTTTTGCTGTTGCCGTTTGATCGGCATTATCATCGTCCATAAAGTGCAACAATTTCTGTTGATTGTTCTTCATAATCGTGGTCAGAATCGTCCTGCGATTAAATCGAACTGTTTTCTAAATGTACGTCCTGGTCGTCAGCATGTTGCTTTGCTGGTCTTTGTGTCTAGTCTAAGTCTATATCATCTAACTGACCAGCACGTTTCCCTATCAACCGATTCTTTTTATTACCAGATGGTGCACTCTGGTCCTCATCAAGGGAGTCAGATGATTCTCTTTCTGCATAATACCTGTCACTGAATTCGTCGTTCCTTTGGTATAATGTTTCTCCCAACGCTGCTTCCTGATCGTCGGCATGTTCATCTTCTGGTGTTTGCTCCAGTTCTAAGCCATATCCCTCCATCGTGTCAACAAAAACCTTGACCAGCTCTAAGAGCCTGTTCTTTTTATTACCAGATTGTGTCTTCTGGTTCTCATCAAGCGAGTCAAATGATTCTGTAACTGCATTATGTTGGTCATCATTTTGGTCGTGTGTTAGGTAAGATAATTTTCTTGACCTTGCTTCCTGACCGTTGACATGTTCATCTGCTGGTCTTTGTTTTAATCCTGAGTCCAATGCCGTCAGCAGGCTAATGGTATTCACAAGTAACTCCACGTGTGACGGATCCTCTTCATCAATATCTGCTGTTAAAGTTAATGCATCCTTCAGAAAATCACGCATTTCTTCAAAGATATCCACTCCATCTGCTGAATTGGGTACCCATTCTAATAACCTTTTGCACACGTCTTTCAAGATAAGTCTTGTTAGTCTCTCCGTTTCTAGTCGTAAGGGGTTGTCCGAGTCATTGTTTGAAAAGGCGTCTATTGCTCCCCCGACTGCCCCCATATCACTGTCCGAGTCTTCCTTTTCCTTTCTTAAGGGGTTGTCCGTGTCATTCTTTGAAAAAGCGTCTACTGCTCCCCCGGGTGCCCCAAAGACACTATCCAAGACAATATCTGGTGAGTCGACCATCACCTGTAGGTTGATTTTTAAGATATCTTGAAAAAAACGATTCAAAAACGTGTGATTCATTAGATTGAAATGAATTTCATAATTTGTTTGGATTTCCGTTAGGACTGCTTTTGGATTGTCAAGGATGGTGTACAAAATGTGAACGATGTCGCTTACAACTTTTTCATCCACGTAGTCAATCATGTTGTTTTCTTGTATGAAGTAGTTTGGGATGCACTTCTTGTCGAGAAATTCAAGCAAGAGATCATAGAAGTCGTAGAACCGTTGCCCCATCTCTTCGTTTGTCCACCTATCCTGTGGGATACGCTCGCACAACCAGAACAGCGTCGTCTTAAGGTGGTAGGAAGAAAGTGTGCAGGATTCTCCCAGTAGGTGTTTGTGTATCAGTTTTATGATACGGTAAACATGGCGCTGAACTTGATTTAGGGACAAGGCAAGATGACGCTCAGCTAAAACAAAAGAGATCCTCCATTCTGTTCGGCAATCTTTATCACCAGGATTGGCAACTGGAACAAGATGGCAGCCAAACTCTTTCACGGCTTGAATTTGCTCCATATTAGGCCAACCACTCGATCTCTTGCGACTCAGCCACTCTTCTGCTTCGCGTGGAAACTCATTCCACGGAAATGACGCGACAAAATCGCCTGTTGAAAGAAGATCGTCTTTGTCATGCATACTGGATAGAATCTCGTAGGTCGCCGCTGGGCCATGAAGATGGACGCGTACTCTAAACTTTTCCAACATTTTTCTCAATGGCCCACTACTTGAATTCACGTTTTTGATGTAATGTTGTACACATGTATTGCTCAGGTATAAATCCCCACGATCACGTTCCAAAATATCAGGCACTTCAAACAACCAGTGTTGACCTTGTATCTTAAGTTTGACATAACCGGCGTGACAACCCCGACCATCTACGACAAACGATTCCCTACGAGACGTGAATGTTGGATAATATGGAGGTGAGAGGATCCTCAACCACAATGGCCCCTTTGTTGTTGTCACTGATTCTCTGCGAGACGTGACTGTCGGGAAATATGGAGGTGATAGGACTAGCATGACATCGATATCTATTGGGATGTTGTGTGTTTTATCCTCCTTGTGAAGCGCCAAAGGGACTGCAAGGCCGTCAACGGTACTACCAATAACCTTCAATTGTATATAACTAGGCATATCTATCATCTCTGGATTAAATTCCCTGGCGTAAAGTGGAATAACATGTTCAAACCACTGCTCAATATTCTGATAAGGAAAAAATTGATAACATGTAGAATTTGTCTGTATTAAGCTAGGTAACGCTTTTCCATAACTTTCAACTAATCCAAAGGATGAATTTACGAATGCATTTCCCTTAAATAAATCGCTAAATATTTTTGCATTTCTCATTTGTTCATACAACTCTGTCACTTTATTTCTGGCAGGATCTGAATCATTCCCTAATAGCAATTTCATCATCCGGTGACCGCGTTCCATTGCCACTTTCTCCTCTGGTAGCATCTCTGCTAAATACTTTGAGAAGTTTTCCATATTTTCTTTATTTTCAACACTTCGTGTAGGTCGTCGATGACTTGCTTGAAATCTAAAATTGAAAATAAAGGAAAAAAATTCAGGCAAGGCTCGATCAGAATAACCCCATAGGATCCGGTTAATGTTGACCCATTAAGTTCTGCTGTGCCCAATTAATTCTGTGAGCTAGCTAGCCTTGAAAAGCCAGTCACCTCAGTAAATTGGTCATAATTTATTTGTTTGCCTTTATTACCCATACATAGTATACGTTTTTAAAAAACAAATATTTAAAGCTAAATGAAAATATAACTACATTTTAATTCAACATGCAGTATCAAAAGTCATGACCGGTTAAAAACTACATTTTTATTTGGTAATAGGTGAAACAAAGTTGATTTATCTTATGCACATAATTTTTTTTTATTTCTCCATACATTTGCCTGAAAATTCACAGTTTGTTGTCAATTATAGTAACTTTTAATTCAGGAAATTTCAGCAAGTAACCTCCATTAATTTCCAAGTTATGCTCGTTTTATTATCAGGTATACTTGAGCCAGCTTTTTAGCTCACCTGAACATCGTGGCCAGAGCTGAATAGAAGTCAAATTTTAACACCAGAGCTGAATACAGAAATATCTATAAGACTTATATCATAAATTAAGTAATACCATCGCCACTGCCTATGTCAGTGTCATAGTCTTCAATCATTTAAAAAACAGTATCCATTCGCAGGCCCGTTCCGTAGTTAGAAGTCGCCATTTGATTTTAATTTCTCCAGCTAAGTGTAGAAAACCGCCGATTTCTCGCTCATATATATTTCTATCGTCCTTTATATCATAAATCGTTGTTCCTGCAGGGGCAGAGTAATTAAATCTCGGCTCAATTTAACCGGTCGAGGGACAACGCGAGGGGAGCCGTGTGAGAGGTGAAGAGACCACTACAGGATTAAGCGGTCTTCCTGTTATGAAGGTCCACCATATTTAGGTCGTGACCTAGTTAGCACTCGGCTCTTCTCATTCTGAATGGTCTCAAAAAGAGCAACAACAGGTTCAACCATTATCACGATCATCGCAAGTCCACCCAACAATGCCCGCATGGGCACTGCGCGATGCCTTATGCGGTATTTTTATGACCTGTGGGCTTACAATAAAAACATTTTTTCAAAAGTTTCAGCTTAACAAAATCGGGGAGCGTAATAATAGTAAACTGTCTTAAATATTTTAGCTTAAAGATATGTGCCTCCTCAATATTTCGACGTTAGTTGTCAAATACGCACGGAGACTGCACCGACTACTTATCAAACAGCAATGAAGCCGCAAGGACACTTTACGTCAACTGCACAGTGGCTAAAAGGTTCTGTATATGATCGCTTTTCAACAGACATACTAATCTTTTATGACATGGCTTCAAGGTCATGTGTGAGAAATGGCACGATAACCGTTAATAATGTAAACATACATAACCCGGAGCCCCTTACGATGTAAAAAAAGTACTAGTTAGGCGGCTGAGCCAAACAATTGTGCAAAAGTTGATAAAAGCATGAAACTTTCCACGATGAATGACCATTGGGTGTTTGTCAATTTTGGATCGGGAGGCAACTCAAAAATTCACAAGTACCCAGATGAGCGGCTTTCTTAAAATATGCTGACTCAGCATTTTATGTACATCCATAATTCACGTTAACGAGCACCACCGGCGTTAATTATGATAACATGAATAAATTTGAAAAACGAACACTAACTGTAAACATCAATTACAGCAATGATGACGTCATGATGACGTCACTGGGTGATATTGCACAATACAAAATGACAAACATCCACTCACTCGCATATGCCAAATAGTCGAACCCTGCAATGATCTTTCCTGTAAACATTCATTACAGAAATGCACCCTTGAGGGCTAGAAAGATTGGGTTGGTTTGGTTACTTCTTCCGAGTCTTTGAGCATTTTCAATATGGCCGTCAATTTTTAGAGAAAATAGAAAAACAACCAAGAGTTGGCAGACACAATTTATTTGTGGCTATTGTGAATATATTTCCTGTCATAAGAACACAGTAGGATAAATGACTGCAAACTAGCATGTTTCTGTTATTGAAAAATCAAAATGGCCGCCAACGCATACAGCAGAACATGAAGAATACGGTGTAATCAGTCTATAACTTGTATAATTAGTCTAATAAACTTCTTTTGCCTTCGAATTTTGGATTTTTAATTAGCCATGATCCTTACCCATCATTATCACCTTGTTTGACACTCAAAAATAAAAGGCATGGAACGAAAAAAAAAGAAAGAATAATTTTCAAGGAAGGGGGTATAAATAAAAATATTTAAAATATAGTATAAAAATATTTCAAAATTACGGACTTATTTTGACAATTTCTTTTTGGTGGGAGTCTGGGGCCGTATTCTCAAAACTTTGTAACTTACAACAATTTGTAACGATTTACCTGAATTTCTAACTTTGACCTACACGAATATGAAAATTACCTTCTCCTCTGTCAGCGCTGTCAGGTGCTGCTTGAAGGTCTGATAGGTTTCAGCTTTCATAATTTAACGGCAAGCTTGCTAAAAAATCTAATAAAAGTTGGAAATGCCTAGCATTGGTTAGTAGACTCATTTTTCAAACATAAAGGGGTTGCTGCTGACATATCAGAGATGACTGGCTGGTTAACGGAAGAAGAAGTTTGACAAACATATTTCCTTGCCTCTTTGTAACATCTAGTTAACCAATCTGTTTTATTATGTTGCCTACATTGACCACAGGCGTATTATTTTACTGACATACAATGTATATGCAGATTTCATTCGTTTAAAATCTTTTTCAGCTGAAAAACATAATTTATCATCTTTTTACCTGCCTTTTCCATGCAGTTTTGGTGGCCATTTTGCTATTTCTATTAAAATGACTTGCAGATTATGTGAAAGAAAACCCTAATAAACACCACCTCTGTATTTGTAAACATGCAAATAGACTTTAAAATGAAGAATCACCACGCACTGTATAAAATTTGATAAATTGCTATGAATACTTATGTAATTTTGTATAAAAATTGGCAGCCATTTTGGGTTACGAAAAGTGCCAATGTTCCAGAATTTAGCAAAGCCAAGCTAAGTTGACTTTTCTGACCAAAAAAGGGGCATTTCTTCTCAAACAATTACAGAAAACAACATAGTATTGTTCAACTATGGGACCAATTAGATTGGTAACCTGACTACTTGGAGGGCTTACGCCCTCACCACACATAAGTTGAATATTAAACAAGCAGAAAATGGTAGTGTAGGATAAAAGCTAACTAAAAACCACGATGAACGGGAAAATCAAAGAAGAGGATGCCGTTAATTAGCATGATGATACTAGAAACATGCTGATTTTGCTGATTTACTTAACCCTCTGCCTCTACCCTATGTTTTTGCGGCCATTTTGTTTTTTATCAGTAACAACGACGTGGTTGGATGTAGTCTTGTGCCCTACTGTGTTCTTCCGATATGAAACACATTCACAACAGCTACATACTCAATACAGCTGAAAATACTCAATGTCTCGGAAGTAGCAATCAAGCTAATTTTACCTTTCTAACCCTAAAAGATGCACTTCTGTTATAAAAAAATTACGGAAAAGAAACATAACAGAGTTCGACTATTGTTCCTGTAGGAGAAAGTTGATATTTGTCATTCTAAATTGTGCAATATCACCCAGTGACGTCATCGTGACGTCATCTGTGCTCTCAAAGATGTGCACAGTGAGCGTTCGTTTTTTAAATCTATTTATGATATCATAATTAGTACTGTTAGTGCTCATTTTGATGAAATCTGAATGTACATAAAATGCCGAGTCAGCATATTTAAGAAAGCGCCTCATCCGGGTTCTTGTGAATTTTGTGGTTGCCCCCCGATCCAAAATTGACAAACACCTAAGGGTCATTCATCGTGGAAAGTTTCATGCTTTTATCAACTTTTGCACAATTCTGGATATAATTTGAACTTAACCGCTTGACCATACTGACAGTCGCTTACAATTTTGTCGCACGGCGCTCGTGGCAAATGTAAATTACGCTTATGCCTCGGTGACAACCGGCCTTACGGGCTAATACGGGCTGTTTGCATCCAATTGTTGCGCAGAATCTCACGTCCCACGCAAGACAAACTCAAGATTTTAGTACAATTTCCACGGCCATCGTTCCTTGCAATAAGCGCCCCTACTTGAAAAGAAATCTCATGTGGTCCTTGCTACTCGCAAGGCAGACTTTCCTTTACCTCTACGACCTCCACGGCCTTCGCAACAACCAAAAGTCGCAGGGGACATACGATCCTGAAATTCGTGCGTCCGGTTGTGACCGAGGCTTTAAATAGATCGAGTTTGCCTCTGGAGAATCAGCAATCACAAAACAGAGCTCGCAAAACATAACCAATCCTACTATACACAGGTATCGTGATGTTGCGAATAATTGCATAAAGCATGTTTACCCTTGGCAACCACCTTTATCCATGATGATAACTGCCAGAAATCTTTAAATTTGGAGAGCAATTTAACTGCGTAGTAGATTTGTATATCAGTATGGAAAAGACTTCTGTTTTTTCAATAAAATAAATCCCCGCTGTAATATGTCAGCGTCTGTTTATTGTCTCCATGACTACGATTACAAAAGATTCTTATTTATATGCGGTGATTCTTTTCATATTAAAATTCGTGAGCACCTGGCTAAATCGTTTGCCTTTTCTACAGGTGTTCAAGTGTATTTATACAATCGAACGCTTAATTCATTATGGTCTTTTTTAGTCCATTGTTAACCTTTTCTATAGGCGTTCACGCATAGGCATTCAATCTATGAATAAATTAATGCCATATTTATGTCAATTTCTAAGCATTTCCAGATGAATTAGGTCAACATGTACACTAAACGAAGCACAGATATCAATAAATACGACATTCACCATGACTGCGATCTCTATATCCCTGCATTTTAAATTATAACCTTGAGTTTTGCTTACATTCCTCTTTTGTTATAGCACGACTAACACAGCTATATAAATACAGGGGGCATGGGATCGGCTCCGCATCCGCGAACCATCACCCTCCACAAATTTCTGGAAGAAAAAGTGTGTGTGTTTTTGTAAGAGGATCAGTGCGTGTGTGTTTGTGTGTGTGTGTGTGTGTGTGTGAGAGAGAGAGAAGTGGGAAGATCACGCCAGATTTTCAACTTGAGTCTAAATACAAATTCATTTTATTTAAAACGTTACAGGAGTGATGCGTAGATAATAAGCCTTTATTTCATTTATACATTATCATTCATTTAAGGAATATACTTCATTAAACGAGGAAGTATATCACTCTTTAATCTTTTGAAATACAATACAATACGATTTTATCAGTATTGGAATGTTTCACAATTCTGTGAACTTAGGTAACAGAGGACTATTCCAATAAAACTATTTGTATATGAATCTGCCTGACCTGGGCCTGGTGACCTTGTTACATTATATGATAATTTTCCCATATTGAAATGTTTTTTTTTTGTATCTACTCACAAGTGAAACTCCAAACCACGGGTAACAATCTTCTTACCTGTAAATTAGTTAGTACTTGAAGTTGTGCTGCTATTAACAATCAATGCATTATGCCATATTGGGATTAGTGGATTTAGAATATGCCTGGGTTGGGACTGGTCCTGTGACATATATATAACATGGTGTAAGGAACCTTACCTTTCGTCTTCTCTTTTATCCATGGTGATTACTTGATTACTGTCAGATTGCACTTACATATGGAGGGAGAGAGATTCACTTCGATTTTCTATAAGCCATAAATATCTGTGGAAAAGACCCTAAATTACTGCAGCTGTCTTTCACTTGTCTGTTTATTGTCGCTATGACCACAGTTTCAAAACATGCCTTTTTATGCGGGGGTTTTTCTCTTGCGAAATTCAATAATGAAGTACGTCAACAGGCATATGGTTATTGATCCAGTGTTTGCCTTACCTGTAGGTGCTGAAATGCTTCGCATTTATTTAACCGTAGGCGATATTTAATTCGTTTTTAAACATACAAGCAAGCAAAAGGAATACAACTGATTTTGATTGTTTAATATCGGACCGAAAGAGTTTATAGATAGGAATATATGATCAAATGGGTGAAAGGGTTTTCAAAGAAACTGAAAAGGTAATTAAAGTAAGCATACTGACTATAGTGTCAGTATTTGGAGGCACAGTGAAACGTTAACACCATTATCTATTTCTGAGCATTTCCCAGGTATGAATAAAGGTTGCATTTCACAAAACTTAACAATATGGAAATAAACACAACAACTGTGTTCGCCCTCACCGATCTCCCACTATATATACGAGGCCAATTGAGTGATGATAATGCATTTAATGTCAAAATCTCGTTGGACAGCAGAAAAAGTTCCCATGAGTTACCTAAAGGTACACTTGTGGATATCTGGTGAAAAATCAATATGTGACCCAGGTAGGGGTACAGTATCCCCACATTTCCAACTTCAGCCCTAAGTTCTGCTTACAAGAGCATTGTTATGACACGAGTTGGTAAACAAATTGCGTTTCCTACATCAATAGTTGGCCTACTTGAGGTCTAGCCGTGGGGTATCCAATATCTCGCCACAATGGATTTTATTTTTTAAACCGAGTGTGGTCGCACTTAATAAGCACATGCATTTTTGTAGTAGGATGTTCTTTTTATGGACGAGTGGGATTTATGTCATTCATTTCAGGCCCCCATCCACTTCGTTTCATTTTCATACAATCAAATTCATGAAAACAGAACATAAGATTGTATATATTTTTCACAAAATAAACCAGGAAAAGTTTTGGATTATCTCGTTTATGAAGATCTCAAACTATCCTTTTTTTATTACTCTGCAGAACAAGCTCTATTTATTCATACTGACGCGGTTTTAATATAGGGCTACAATGTATATTGTTCACTGTTTTCGGACCCTCCTCCCCCAACACACCCAAACTGCATGCCTGTACCCGAGAAGTGATCCCATTGCGGTAGATGAGAACTAGACAGTGGTGGCAATGGAGAAGATCGGGCAAAGGGTTTACATTGAGAAATAAGGTCAAATTTATTAGAAATAGCCTGGGAGCCAAGATTATGATAAGAATGAAAGAATTGTATCAATTCAAATCCTAAATAAGGCTCCCCAAAGATATCTTCATAAGTTTATATCGTGTTTTTTCTAAACTTTTTAAAGGTTTTTAAGTTTGGATCTCAATTACAAGGTTAATCGCGTTTAGATTCTTTTTTGTGTGCGGATTTATGGGATTAAAATGTACCTGAATGGAGGCAACGAAGTCGACTATCTGCCTTTGAATTTATTCTTCCTAATAAATAAAACTTTGTTTTCTGTACAACAAATGCGTAAAACTGATATAAATATTACCTGTGTTTAAGTGAGCCCAGTGAGATATCATAACATTGCAATCTAGTCAACTATGTTAATACACCATATGAACATAAATTGATAAATTGATTCATGTTCAGTGACTGAAAACACGTTACTTTGGAAGCATATAGTTTATGATATGAACATAAGTACAAACGGGGTGCACCGTTTCTATTGTCTATATACAAATTACCAAGGTTCATAGTGGTCTAGTTTGAAAGGACACTATATACTGCTAGCACATTGGAAATGATAAAATTCTTTTACGGTACGTTAAGTACCAATATATGTTAATTGACACACCAAGTGACGCTGGGTTTATATCTTTAAATACATTGGACTAATGTGATATTTAAACCAGAAAAAAACTAAAAATTGCTGCCATTCATTCTGTCTTGAAAAGAAGTGATATGTAATTCAACTCATTTCACTCGGCAAGAACAAAGTAACGGAAGTTGTAGGTGTGATGAGGCACAACATGCACCCGCTACTGCATAAATACACAATAACTTCACTACAGTGTAGCAAAGCACAATACAATACAATTCAATGCAATGCAATGTAATGCAATGCAATGCAGTGCAATGCAATATAATACAATGCAATGCAATGCAATGCAATGCAATGCAATGCAATACAATACAATGCAATACAATACAATGCAATGAGGGTGATAAAGCAGTCAAAACGATCATGATCTATTTAATTTGCTAAGGATCTTCTGTTTAATCTATCCTGGTTTAAAACTTATGGACGGTCGGTAGTAGATCGCAGTGGAGCAGTAGTGCGTGCATCCATTAAACATCGTGCTAGTAGGGTTGTGCCCCTCCTACTGAGGTGAAATCCATCTTCCCTGTGGTAATCTGGGGAGCTTAACACCTCATTTACTGCGATGAAATGTGCTTTCTGTTGGCCTCAAAGTTCTGCTTGAACAAGGTCATTGTACCGCTTTGCTCTCTCGTTAAAACATTGATTATGTTGACGATCCAGGATCCCTGTGAAATATATATCACAGTCAGGATATTTCATTTCTGTTGTCTGTTGCAGGCATTTTCAACAACCAATTTCCAACTTCCTTTATTAGGTTAAAGGGACTGTCCGAGTCGTTCCGTGAAAAGGCGTCTGCCGCTCCCCCTATTGCCCCCATGACACTGTCTGAGTCATTTTCTGACGAGTCGATCAGTATCTCTCTCATGGCTGTAAGCATACCTCCTGCGCCTTCATCCTCTGGTGATCCTGCACGCACCGGCTGTGTTTGAAGCTCCTGCAAAATATCTCTGAAAGGAGGTTTTGACAGCAAGTAAAACACCAGATCAAAGTGGAGGTCATATGTTGCTTGGATTTCGTCGAGGATTGCTTTTGGATTTTTACGGATCTCGCGCAAAATTTTAACATTTTTGTTGACTAATTGTTCATCTATGTAATCTATCATGTTGTTTTCCCGTATGAAATAGTTTGGGATGCACTTCTTGGAGAGAAAATCAATCAAGAGATCGAGAAAATCGTAAAAACGTTGCCCCAGCCTTTCTTCTGTCCACCTTTTCACATAACCAGAATAACGTAGTCTTAAGGTGGTAAGTAGAAAGGACGCCGAGGTCTCCTAATCGGTGCTTGTGTATCAGTTTTATGATGCGGTAAACACGGCGCTGGCCTTGATTTAAGGACAAGGCAAGATGGCGCTCAGCTAAAGCAAAAGAGATCCTCCATTCGGTTGGACTATCTCTATCACCAGGATTGGCAACTGGAACAAAGTGGCATCCAAATTCGTCCACGGTCCTAACTTGCTCCGTACTAGGCCAACCGCTCGATCTATTGCGACTAAGCCACTCGTGTGCTTCATGAGGAAACTCATTCCGCGGGAATGATCCAACAAGATCGCCTGTCAGAACAATGTTACGTTTGACACCAGAAAAAATCGGAAATTTGTATGATACCGTAGTACCATTAAAACTTACATTAAGCACTTTCCAAATTATTTTCAGTTTTTCTAACCCGGGCATCGGCTTTTTGACGCAATATTGCACGATCCTGTTGCTCAGACATACATCCCCAGTTTGATCACGTTCCAAAATGCCTGGCACACAAAGCCAATGCTGTTCGTCCTGGAACTTGAGTTTGACATAACCGGGATGGCAGTTGTGACCATCAACAAACAACGCTGCCTGCTCTCTACGAGACGTGACTGCGGGGAAAAATGGCGATGTCAGTACTAGCATGACATCCGCATCTGATATTTCAAGGTGAGCTTTATGCTCTCTGTCAAACAAAAATGGGATCCCAAGGCCGTCAAAAAAGCTACCGAGAAACTTGAGCTGTAAGCTTTTGGTCGCATCTTTCATCTCTGGAAAGAAATGCCCTAATAACTTTTGAACTATATTGTGGCCAGTATGTTCGATATATTCATGAGGATAATGATTATAACACCCGAAGTTTGTAAATACAAAGTCACCATAATATTTCCCCATTAGTGCTAGTAGTCCATTTTCTGATGTTTTATCTTCACCACAGGATCTGATAATTGCATCCTTGAGAATTTTACATATCTCTTTGATTTTCTTTTCATCCTGAACTAAATCAATCCCAAATAGTTTTTAACTGCCCGGTGAAACGTTTTCATGAAAAACATCCCTTGGGGTAGCATCTCTGCTAAGTATTTTGAGAATTTTTCCATATCTTCAGTATTTTCAACGTTTCGTCTCGGTTGTCGTTCATACGGAGGAGATCTAAAATTGAACGTAAACATAAATAAAAGGTTTACATGTAAACTGACCCAGTTAAAAAAGGCTTTATAAAAAGTTCCGTGGAAGGACTAACCCTTCTTCTACCACTATACCGCAATCGTTCTTGGAAACGGCGGAGTCCTGCTGATTATGCAGGGGTGACTTTCCAGTGACCTCTGAAACTTGTGACTGCGTTCCCATAAGCCCCATTGAGTGACCAAGGGGTAATTGACTATCGTTAATTACCCACTAGCAGCTTGAGTAGGCGTGCCAGACAATTAAGCCGCTTACACTGAATGCAATTTAGCAAAATCCCTGTAAAGTAAATCGATTCAGATAGTGCGATTGGTTTATGAGAACCGCCCGTAACCTCTGTAGAGGACACTGATTTGTAATTTGTAGATCTCGCTGAAGATAAGCCGGGTGATTATTTTTTTTACATTTTGAACCTTTTTGTATTAAGGGAAGGTGAAGTACCTTTACTATCATTTTTAAGCACTTTGCTGTTGCGAGGTCGATCATTATTTCACCTGGGCTTGCGTCCCAAAAGGTATGCGTATAAATTTCCATAAATGTAACATGTACATAGTAAATAGTTTCATAAGCTTACCTGTTACCTCTCCTGTTAGCCATGGCGAAAACTGCTGGAAAGATTTTACTTCCTATTAGCCCTAAGTATCTCTAGGAAATCCCAAATTCATTGCAGCTATCTTTCAATGTCTGTTTGTT